TGCTGAAATACATCTGAAGAACCTCACACACACACTCACAGCTCCCTGACAAGAGAAAGCAAGTCTAGCCAACACCCACACATCGTGTCAGCAAGGCGGACAGCCCGCCTGCTGTCGTAACGCTCACTATATTTCCCATTTCTAAACCTCTCTATCCTCTTTACTACAACAGCAACAACAATAGAATAGGCATGGGGGGCGCATAATATATGAACAAAAGTATAAACGGTATGTTAGCTATTCATAAAACTCGCACCGTCCAGTACCCGGGTAGTGGGGTGTCCCCAGCACCGTCCAGGACCCGGGTAGTGGGGTGTCCCCAGCACCGTCCAGGACCCGGGGCGTGTAGCGTAGCTGGCCTGGCCCGCGGACGTTCACCCGACAGCCAGCTCCTGAGGGCACACGCTGGGCGTAAGCGGTACTTCTCTTCCCGTAAAAAATAATGTACAAAAGCGATCAAATAACTGCCTTTCTAAAACTATAATTGCGGGTGATTCCACGAAGTACGGATGACGGCCGGTACACAAAAGTATGTAGCCTCGCGTCTCGCCCGCCTGCTCCCGGTGACAACTGCCGCTAGCCGCTACACGCTTCAATACCTCCTCATACCCTCCCTCATGAATGTCTCACCTTACGAGGTGCCGCATGAGGCCATGTGGTGGGCGAGAGAGACAGGAGCAGCCGAGATGGCGTAATATTTACTCCACACAAAAGGCTCTGTATATCTCTCACGTTACCAGTTGCTGGGATTCTCGGCAGAGTGTGACTTGCTAAACGTGGCCGCAGGAAGCCGTAGCCTCGGCCGCGATGCTCTGATATACTGCTCTTGGCCCATACTGATATCGCTTTATTTTACTTCGAAATATAGAGTAACATATAAACTTCTATTCATGTAATTTATTAGACGATTAAAATGCATGTAATTTTATATTTCAGTCTACCGTGATCAGCTTGGGTTTAGTATTAATTCCCACAAGCCTAGTCTGTGTGTGATGGGAAATTTGTTTCATTAATTGTGCACCCCATACCTATCCTGTGGATGGTGGTGGACTCCAATACCTATCCTGTGGATGGTAGTGGATCCCAAACCCACTACTGTGGGTTATTGTACAGCCCATATCGCCTGGTGCTTACTGTCATATAATGGATCTTATATGCCATCTTTATACCCCAAAATGCATTTAACCAAGCAAGTTACACGCTTGATAAGCTAATTACATAGTTGAATGCATACTTGAACAGTGAATTGTATCATAATGGTCCCTCAAAAGCAGGACCACAACTATCTCTTAAGTTAAGCTATTTGTGGTGAGATAGTTACTTAGAAGTTTCAATATGCTTATCACGCACTTTAAAGGTCCAAAACCCTGTGAAAGGGTGAGGGCCAAGTGCCTCACGAGGGTGAGGAGGCGGGGTTGTCTAACACTGACAAGGTCACTAATTACTGCCTGCCTCACCTCTCCTCCCTACAAGCTCCACCACCCCTAATACTTTCTCCATCAGTGATGGAGAAACAGTGTTGGAGGAACTACGCCACTGACGTACTTCCTCCACCACTGACGGACTTCCTCCTCCACTGACGTACTTCCTTCTCCACTGACGTACCTCCTCCTCCACTGACGTACCTGCACCACCTCTCAGCTTGGGTTGAGCTGACAACAAAGGAGTGCTGCCAAAGACGTCCCCATCACACAGGTTGGTTAGTGATACAGAGCCAAGTGATCAGTAGCCTGAGCAGACAAACGCTGACTGCATTATGAAACTGCAGCATCTTCACTAACAGTTAAACTGATCCAGGACAACAACCTCTCTCACAGACACGCCTATTAAAGCGCTGATTTTTTTTTTAAATTGGACGTTTAGCGGGAAATAAAAAAAAGACAGGGCTTATGAAGCCAAAAATTTAAAATCCCAGAGGCTTTTTCCCAGCTTTACCAGGCCAAAGTGACGGAGAAAACAGGGTCTTTGTAAACCTATAGAGCCCAACTGCGTCCTTCTAAGGTTTCCCAACGTCAAGACACTGTCGAACTAAACCCGCCAAACACACACCGAAACTACGACGTTGGTACAACGTTCGAACACGTTTTAACACCTAACCACTTATAACAACCAATATAGCAAGTTGTAACAACATGAAAAGGTTGGCAACCACTGCACTAGACTAATGCAATCTTGGAAACTTCGTCCTTTGTCTGGACGTCATTGTTGTCGCTGCTCCTACCATGCCACGACACGTGCTCTACAGGTGCCACTGCCTGCATAGACATCACTGAGCTAGACGCCACAACAAATGTGTCTCGGAGCTGCGAACACAGGCAAATACAACGCAAAACAAGGCAAAGTCGACCCTGCTGGATACCAAGGTAGTGATCTCAGCGAGGAACACGCTTGAACAAAGAACAATGATACATTTGAACCAAGGCTTAAAAATGCGAAAATGTATTGTAAATGTCATCTCACTTTTCTTCACGTGATTTGTGTTCAAGATGAGTGGGATCCAAGTTAGTGTGTGTACCGTGTATAATCTACCCCTAACCCGACGACTGCTCGGAATACAAATACTGGTAATTAATAAATCTCGAGGTCAGGCTACGGCTACGCTCCCCCGATTACTACACACACAGAGTTTCCTCTGCCATTATGACGTCTAGGATTATTACAAAGACTAGTGAGACTACGAGAACTGTATCCGTCTGACTGCCAGGTGTACACTGAATACAGGAGCACACACAGCAGTGCGCGTCATATTTGACCCAGTGTATACCAATTCTCTTAAGTATCCACTGGACCCAAACTTTTCAGTGACAAATGTTCAGTTTATTGTTCACATTATGCTCATTGTTATTCTTATTGGTTTAATCCTTATATATTTTGGATCTAAATACTCATATACTATTTTTATTTTGTGTTCCAATTATTATAAGTACTTAATTGCGCGCGCGCGGGTGTGTGTGTGTGTGTGTGTGTGTGTGTGTGTGTGTGTGTGTGTGTGTGTGTGTGTGTGTGTGTGTGTGTGTGTGTGTGTGTGTGTGTGTGATAACTGACGTGAGCAGAGCTGCCAACCTATGCAATGGTGATTAATACATTATAAAGTGTTATTATTGTCTATCATTCTATTTCCCAGAAGAAAACATTTGCGGATGTTCCTGTACAATATTTATTATGTGTATGATTGTTATGTGACTAAGTGTTATTTGAGAAGGCATAAGATCACCACTTACTGTACTGTTGGTACGCGATATGTTGGCTCTTGCTTGTGTTTGGTCATATTGTAAGTGGGTTGAGGTCTTGCGAGCGCAGTCGTCTCTTCAGCACTAGGCTGGGCCACAAATCTTACATATTATAGACCTTTGCGAATGTACATTATGATAGGATAAGAGGTAAGATAAGATTGCCGATTATTGTGTGGAATATCAGTGGAATCGTCTTGTGAGTCCATAAGAGACTTCTGTTTGGCCAGTCCACAGTGACTAATGTTTTGGTCATAGTGATTTAAAGTTTATGACCAATTTGACTTGGATATATTAACGTTTATAATTAATTCATGTGTATCTAACTTTAGTCTAATGCACCAATGTTATACTAAGTTCATGTATCTTGAATATAATGTAAATACCAATTCTATTGATGTGTTTAGCATCTATTATATAAATATACCAATATACTGATAGTTTGTTGCACCAGTTTCCCTTACCTTAGACAAATGACTTAAGACCAGGTGTTGTTCTATTAAGAGTGGGAGTCTACCACTGAGCCTTGCTGGGGGCATATCACAGGAGTGCACAGAGCTCCTGCACACCCTGGATAAAACTGCCAGGTTTACCATAGAGGACCCTGGATAAACTGCCAGGTTTACCATAGAGGACCCTGGATAAACTGCCAGGTTTACCATAGAGGACCCTGGATAAACTGCCAGGTTTACTTCGACAAACAGGAACCAGAGGTACTCAGGATGGCACTGCATGCCTCTGATAGCAAGGAAATACTACGTTTCCTGAGTGGCAATGCCTGCTGTTGCCTTTTGCTAACTCTCGGGTTTGTGGTAATTAGTTGATCAATAACTAATTAAGGTTTGATTAGCGGCCGTAATTGGACGCGATCTGAAAGGAATCGAACCTCGCAAATACGGTCAATAACCAATTTCCTGTATTAATTGTGCTGTTAGGCCGTTCCTGTTCACCTAATAGGCTTTTAAGGCCACTTCCGAAGACCGCCGACGCTCGTCACAACACCCCGACAACAATCAACGCTACAACAATTATCTCATCCACGCCACAACACCCATCGCATGAACGTCAACCCCTTCACAACTACGTCACAACCCCACCACAACTACACCACAACACCCACCACAACTACACCACAACATCCACCACAACTACACCACAACACCCACCACAACATCCATCACAACTACACCACAACACCCACTACAACTACGCCACAACACCCACCACAACTACGCCACATAAGATACTAACGGGGAATATAGCCAAGGTTGACAGGGGCAGCCTGTTTAAAATGCGAAGTACGAAATGAAGACGGACTTAAAAGCCTTAAATACACTGGAGGAAATACCCGTCCCCCCTTACGAGTTATCAACAAGTTCAATGCACTTCAGGCCAGATTCTGCAAAGAACCTGAACGTCGTGGAAGGCGTTTCAACGCAACAGGTACATGTGGGGCGTAGAGGGCAAGACCTGACTCGCCAGTAGTCCAGTAGGTAAGCAATAGTGGGCAAGGCCATAGGCTACGTAATAAGAAGCAAAGAGGTCATGGGTGTGTTGCATTAGACGACCACTATTAAAGAAAAAAAAGGGCGGGGGAGGAGGCCTTGGTGATGAAACACGGCCTTTGCAAACTGTTTTCCAGAACACAAGCAGCAACAACATCCCAAATCATTGATATTTACGAATAAAAATGCGTAAAATGTCATTTATTATTCAGCAAGATGATGAGATATAAATAAGTTTGGTGTTAGGACAAGTGTAGTAGTTTACCTTGTAGTTGTAGTTGACCCTGGAGCGCCTGGAGCCAGGTCGCTTGTAGTTGAGGTACCTGTCAGGTGGAGGGGCCGTGGAGGGCATGGCTCAGGTGTGTGGTGGTGGCTCAGGTGTGTGGTGGTGGCGAGCCTAGCGGTACTTGGCCATGTTGAAGGAGCGGGGGTTAGCCTCTCTTGTCCGCTCTCTACCACCACCAACCACACGCCCTCATCACCACGCCTGGCATGATGACTTCTGGCCACAAGTGGCTGTGGTGATCTTCCTCGCACCTCTCTCTTAATGGTTTAGTCGCCTCTCACACTGTTTGCAGTAGTGCTTAGCATTTACTCGCAAATATACACAAAGGTTGCACTTTCAACAGCATTTATCACTCGAAGGTAATATCACATATTAACACTTTCAATCGTAAATAAATGAAAATACACGTTAGGCTTCTGGAGCACTGAGATCAGTTTGATCTGAGATCATCACTCGCCAACACGACCTCCAGACCCACCGCCCACTCACCAACCACTCCCACACAGTACGGAAATGTGACTGGACACCACTATGGGCTGTGGTCACCACTGTGGGCTGTGGTCACCGCTCTGGTCACCACTGTGAGCTCTGGTCACCGCTCTGGTCACCACTGTGGCCACCTACACTGGCCAGCCAACATGCCACATGATTTGAAGCTCGATATGTGAGCTACAATGTGTCTTCACACACCACCGACACACCTCACGCGAGAGGCAACCATCCAGGGAGGACTGGTTACATATCTTGCTCGTGATTGCAAGCAAGGCATCGATCATAGGCACAAGGAGGGCACGTAAGGAACCAGCGACTGTGGGAGGAACGTAACGTAGCTCCAATCGTGGCCGAGGTGAGCGCCCAACTCCCCGCCTCACCTGAGCCGCCGTCGGCCTGGTACAGGTGAGGCGGGATGCCAGGAGCCGCTGGCCGCCCCCACCAACACTTACGGTTTCCCTGCTTGTTCTGCCTTCCCCTTGTACACACTATCACTCCTCTACCACAGTTGAACTAATTACAGGCACTGGCATTATAATAGCAGCTATTATTGAAACGTGTTAACTGGCGGAATGATGCTGGGTAGTGGAATATGGAAATCGTTGCACTTCGCCATAGTGCACCCAGCAAGCCATCCAAGCGGGTCTCACCAAACCAAAACACAAAGTCTTAACTTTTTTTGGGGCAGGCGTATTCAAAGGTGTGTTTGATAACTACCAGTGGTGGTAGTTATCAAAGTTATCAAGTTATTCAGCCTTACATTTAAATATTTACAAGAAATAATCAGAGCATAATAATCAAATACAGTGACCCCCGCGCCAGACAGAGTTGGTTTGGCATTAGGCTTCAGGCTTATCAACGTGGAAGATTATTAAGACCACGACAATAGATTACGAACCAACTAACATGTATACTTTAGTCCTGAACATTGTCCAGGACTATACTAAACTTCCAATTGAATATACACCGAGAAGCGAGGTACACCTTGGTGACCATATATTTGAAAGAAATCTGGATAAAATCTAGGTTTATATTTTGCATAATAATATAAACAATATAATTTTTAAATGAACAAATCCACAAGGGCCGTGACGAGGATTCGAACCTGCATCCGGAAGCATCCCAGACACTACCTTAAGTAGTAAAAGAGTTGAAACCGAAGTTCTACTGAACTTACTTGATCCCGTAGCCTCTCCGAGGCACAAACCAGGATTTTACACAACTCCCCCCCTGCACCCGAGCTATGTCAATAGGCCGTTCTCTCTCTTCGCCCTTACATCATTACACTCGCTCGGGTGCAGGGGGGTGCGTCGCATATGAATGCGTCTTTGGGGTGGACCGCTGGATGGAATGGACTTGGTCCGAGAACGGGTTGCACTCACGTACTAGAAATACAAATAATCGCTAACATAACCTAAACACCTTACCTAACCTACGCTTAAATATACATATAATTTTTATGTATAATAATATTAATTTATATATGAGAACAAATCAATTTTTAATACACAGTATGTTAAAAATGAAGAATGCGTCTGGGGAGGACGACCGCTGCGTTAAACACCGTAGTGTGAGGACGGGCTGAATTATAATATATATTAATGTGAAATTATTTTAGAGAAAATTGTCTTTTCTTATGACGAATGCGTCCTTGGGGTCGGCCAGACTTCTTTAACAGTAACTAGTAAGCTCTGGTCGAGTGTCCGCGTGGGTGTGAGCCCTTGTCCCGGACACCATAAAATGTGTTCATGGTAAGACTTGCATTAATATATACTTAATTATTCATAGATTTATAAGCACCAGCTTTATCACCAGTTGGTTACTCAGACTGAGAGAAGGAATACAGCTGTGTTGTGACCTTCAGCTCTTGCAGGTCCTATCTCTCCTGCAAGTCCTTATTAAGGTGCAACCATTATTTATTCTAATCAAATTACTAGTTTTTACGCTCGTAACAAAATGGATTGAATCTACGTCTTGGACTGATGGGTCAGCGTGGTGACGCCATCAACTGTGCGCGTGGCTGTTGATCGGTTGATGTTATTTTGGTCTCAATCTCAACATCTGCTTGCTGATGTTGTGAGATTGGCTGGGAGTAAAACAGGCGTTAGTGGGCCTGAAGTTGTACAAGGACGGAACACAGACACCATGGAGCTAGATTATGCTGTGAAGACACCATGATGCTGGCTCATGGAGGCGTGGATGCATCCATACCAAACCTACTGAAGCTCATGTTTATTAGTCCGAAGCGTAAATTTTGTTGTGATTTTAATAGCAGTAATCTTTTTAATGCTGTAGTCGTTAACTTAATGATGCCCTACTTTAGGTGTGAGGACAGGGCAGGAAATGTTAACATTGTGAGGAGTATTTTATTATTTAATTTTAATATAGCAAAGATCAAGGTTGCTGACATTTATATTATTATTTTGATTGAGAAACTAGCTGCCTGATATTAATTTGAAATTCTATTAAGGATATTAGCCTGAAACTTGAAGCGCCGTCCTTATGAATCAAGAAATGTTAGTATTTGTGATCAAGGGAAACAGAGAAGTGTACCCAATTTCTCGGTGTATACATACCGAAAGTTTACTTAGTTCTGGACAAAGTCCAAGACTAAGGTAAACTTGATGGTTGGTCAGTAAGCCAGTGTAACGACGGCCTTATAACCCTCGCAAAGCAGTAGGTCAAAAGTCACCTTTCCACGAAGACTGTCTGTGCTCACCTGTTAGTACGGTGCTGTAGTCTTCTCGGCTTGGCGCCTTCTATTGATAATTACGTACTTACGACACCTGTTTGTGCCTGTAGGATCAAGCATTAGCTTGATCTTTCTTCATCAAGATCGAGATCTTTCTATATAGGTCTTTCCGTCTATACAATGAGTGTGTGTTTTTTCTCTGAAAATATCGAAAGTTAGATGGTATTTAACTAGGCTATGAAAAAAAGTGTGGCAAGTTGTTCTGTATTTTTTCTAAGCATCAAATTATATTATTGTCAGTGCTGGAACTGTGAAGACATTACTGAATTACAAGACGTCATTGAGTGAGTGGAAAAAATCCTCTTATGTTAATGTAAATGGCAGCAGGAGAGCCCGTTGCAATATCATTTTCATATGTAAACTATCTATTTTGAATCAGTGTCAAGAGATATGCATATATATTCACGGAGAGACGAACCCTACTTTATGCAATGAAGGTTTGATTTTGAACATTGTCTACGACAAGCGTATAATTGCTGGTTTGTGGAGTAAGTTAACGGGGCAGCCTAAGCATCCACAAAGTGCTTCTGGACCAGCTTCCACTGGAACATGCCACACTCACCTTCACAAAATGTTCATCTAAGTACATTCATCGACTTAACAAGGCATAACACCAGAAACGTTGCCAGGTGTTATTTGCATTGAAACTAATACTGATAATTATAAAATAAAATAAATAATTCATAAATGCCTGTAAATCATTAATGATATTACAACCTTACGTTAGGGTGTAGGTGAGAATTCATTTTGAAACTGTCCTAGTTTCCCATTCCGAGGTAGCGCAATTATAGTACTTAATGAAAAATAAATAACTGATCAAAATTTCCTTTTATAAATAAGTGGCAGAAACCATAAAGATAAAATTAATTGCTTTGTAAATATCAATCTGCATCACCATTGTGACGGGCGGCGAGCGACCACGCTACTACTTATCCGGATTTCCTGAAGCGAAGGTGTGGATTGTTTCTCCAACACAGTGGAGGAGACGTTCCACACGTACAACCGATTATCGAGAGAAGACGTCATTCAGCTTAGGCTCAATGCGGGCGCCTTTGACACTTCTTCCGGAGTAATTGCTTTATCAGAGATCGACCTCCGACTCCTGTTATTCATCCGAAGATATTGCCACGAGTACCTAACCTGATTAACTATTAGTTCTGGGTACAAGATTTTTCCAAACACTATATTTTTCTTATTTGGGTTATATCTAACCTTAACCACCACATTTAATTACAGTGTTGGCATCGTTACAAAACTGAATATTCAACCAAGGCTACCATCGGTTAGGCACTTATGCTCTCATATAATAAGGTACCTGCTAGCCTTCAGTATCAGTAACAGCAGTGACAATTACTGGGTCCCTACACAATTAGAGTGGTCCTACACAATGACAATGTTACCATCAGTAATGCAGTTAGTGTTGTCATCAATGTTGCCATTAGTGTTTAAAAAAGTACGTCGTGAGAATACCCACCCCCACAGGTTCGAGTCCTCATCACGGCTCCTTAGGATTTTCTCATTGGTACATCACGTTAGTGTGATTACTCTGTACTGAACCAAACTTAACTTTTCCTAGGCCTATTCTAGTATATATTTACTAATATAGTCCTAAAATTGCCTATGTTAGGCTCAGGACAAGTTAGGTTTATGGTTATTCTGTTCCAGTTTTTTATTTGCCCTTTAGTATACAGTACTTATTTTTTACGTTCCATCGATAGTCCCTACAAGTACTATTGTTTTTTTTTAGGATGCAGACTATACTGAAGAAAATGTTTTTACGTTTTTTGTGTGTGTGTTTAACAGGTGATTGGCTAATCATGTTTTTAAACAGGGGGCAATAACACCAAAAATTCATAAAAAACAACATTTTAAAGAAATTTCTGCATATGAAAATACATTTCCATTTAATTGACGAGTTTAGTTAACTAGATAGCCTATGCGGCAGTTGTCCCCCGGCCTGCACCCACCACAGCCAGCCTCCTGCACCCCACCACAGCCAGCCTCCTGCACCCCACCACAGCCAGCCTCCTGCACCCCACCACAGCCAGCCTCCTGCACCCCACCACAGCCAGCCTCCTGCACCCCACCACAGCCAGCCTCCTGCACCACACCACAGCCAGCCTCCTGCACCCCACCACAGCCAGCCTCCTGCACCCCACCACAGCCAGCCTCCTGCACCCCACCACAGCCAGCCTCCTGCACCCCACCACAGCCAGCCTCCTGCACCCCACCACAGCCAGCCTCCTGCCACAGCCAGCCTCCTGCACCCCACCACAGCCAGCCTCCTGCACCCCACCACAGCCAGCCTCCTGCACCCCACCACAGCCAGCCTCCTGCACCCCACCACAGCCAGCCTCCTGCACCCCACCACAGCCAGCCTCCTGCACCCCACCACAGCCAGCCTCCTGCACCACACCACAGCCAGCTTCCTGCACCCTACCACAGCCAGCCTCCTGCACCCCACCACAACCAGCCTCCTGCACCCCACCACAGCCAGCCTCCTGCACCCCACCACAGCCAGCCTCCTGCACCCCACCACAGCCAGCTTCCTGCACCCCACCACAGCCAGCCTCAACAGCATAACTGCTGAAAAAAAGTTGAAGCGACCAGGAAAATGTGGCTTGCTTGCCCTAGTTGTTTTAATCGCTGGTGAGTCAATAGCTCAAGGTTAACATTATTGTCGTGCCTGCTGGCCCTCACTCACTAATGTCTAATGTCCCGATGGCCACCCAGGTATTTTTCACATTCAGATTTCGCAGTTTCAACATTGTCCATCTGTCCATCTTACAATTATAATGATAGGTAGTAACAAACAGGATTCCGGGGATAAGCCGAGCTGTTCTAGTAACTATGGATAAAGCTTTAACATCGGGCGACTGTTATCTATCCTAGTTCAGCAAGGCTCGTGGACTTGTCAGCATGGGTAACATTCACACACATATATTAACTAGGGGTTAAGAGAAACTATGCATTAATAGGCACATCAATATGCTCCTGGTAGTAACGATTTAATAAACGAAAGAGTAAAAACAAATGCATATAAAAAGTAAATATATATATACACACGGAAATCCCAATTGCGTGATGCATAAAATATATATATTTTAGATATATATAAATTCCTCTTTAAATGGTATAACACAATCACTGCAATTATCTATACACTCGAGTCTTTATATGGCTTCTATCAGTAAGTCTGTCTCCTCAGATAATTATCACCTACACTAGAACAAGAAAATAATCACTTGATTTAACTTTAAATAAACTAGAACAGACCACCACTTGCTTGAGGCGACGTGAGCAGAGTTCTACTTCCCCTCAGTTACCACATCTGATCAATAATTCTTTACTCACACACTACATACGAAAGTAACCACTTTCAAACAGACACAATCATACTAACATAATATTTCATACATTCTGGTATAAGAACTAAAAACATAAGCATTCTTAAATTATTTAAATGACGACGATGAGTCACAATAACGTGGCTGAAGTATGTTGACACAATCGACTTGAGAATGGTCCAGGACGGACCGAAACGTCGTCGTCCCTTTATTTTCTAGTGTGTGGATTGGTCAACATATTTAAATGACTATTTATGTATTACTGGTTCAACATGCTGGCAACGCCCACTGGACACGGCTCTGACCTCCTCATTGCACCGGAGCAGACAGGACATGTACTTGACTAATACCTGTCCACCAAGTGCAAGCCATTCTCTCTCATACACTATACAATATAATATATTATACCCTACACACTCTAATATATCATCTACATATATCGGCCACCAATATATATTAATACACACTATGCAGTCATTTCCAATATGTTATACATATGAATTTTATATGCAAATTCAATCCTATTCATCCTGTATCAGTACTTCTCATACAGTATGGATACGTAACACCGACAAAAAATAAATAGATTTATTACATAACTTCGTGCACATCATACTCTTTTGATTCTTGCATTCCTCGGCCCGCACTGTTTTGTGCACTCTCTTACATTTAGGTAATCTTCATGGTTTGGTTCAAGAGGTCTGGCCACCCAAACCAGGCGTCAATAGTTCTGATACCAAGGAACTTGTAACCTTGTTTGACGATGAACGCTATGAGAGCAGAGGCGCCCTCAGGGATGTGGTTGATCTCCACACACATGAGGCGAATCTTGATCTTGTCCCAAGGAATAGTCCGCAATACCTGTCACCAGAGATATTCGTGATTCTAATTAATGCCACTCTGATGGTAATTGGCCAAGCTTTCTTTATGTCATGATTTGAATATGTTAATGTGGTAATGGAATTATATTCTTTCAGTTAAAGAAAGGACAAAATTTTAATTGAAGTAAAATTTTTATTGAAGAATACAATTTTTTCAATTTGTTAACCTGCCCTTAACCAACACACACACAAAGAAGCAACACAGGCCCTCAGCATACCTCTAGCGCTAATCTTTAATGAGACCCTTACAAAAGGGGTATTGCCCAGCTGCTGGAGAAGGCAAATGTAGCGCAAGAAAGGAAATAGAGAAGAAGCCCTTAACTACAGACCAGTGTCACACGCATTCCTTGCAAAGTACTTGAAAGAATTACAAGGTTAAGACTAGTTGCACACCTAAAAAAGAATTGGCTTCGTAAGTAAACAACAACATGGCTTTAGAGAAGGGAAATCATGACCGACGAACCTCCTGGAGTTTTACAAGGTAACGAAAATAAGGCAAGACAGAGAAGGATGGGCAGATTGCATATTTCTAGACTGCCAAAAAGCCTTTGATACAGTAACACACAGGAGGTTACTATACAAACTTGAAAGACAGGCGAGAGTAGGCGGAAACGCACTAACATGGGTAAGGAATTACCTAACAGACAGGTGTCAGAGTGTGACAGTGAGTGGCAAGGAGTTCGACTGGTGTAGAGTTATAAGCGGGGTGCCTCAAGGATTGGTGCTGGGTTCCATACTATTCCCCATTTATGTAAATTACTAAACTTCATTAGTCGAATCTTATATGTCGATGCTTGCAAATAATGCAAAACAAATTAGGAGGATTGAGGCAGATGAGAATTGTAAGATTCTCCAGGATGACTTGAACAGGTTACAGAGCTGGTTCAAGAAATGGCTGCTAGAGTTCAACACCAGCAAATGTAAGATGATGGAAACGACTAGAGAAAAGGACCTGGGAGTGGACGTAACACCGAACCTAACTCCAGAGGCTCATATAAATAGAATAACGTCAGCCGCATACTTTACGCTGGCAAAAGTCAGAACATCCTTCAGAAACCTGAATAAGGAGGCTTTTAGAACACTGTATGCCACCTATATGAGGCCAGTCTTAGAGTATCCCGCCCCATCGTTGAGCCCCCATCTAAAAATCACACAAGGAAGCTCGAAAAGGTGCAGAAGTTTGCAACAAGACTCATCCCAGAGCTGCGAGGGATGAGTACGATGGGAGATTGAAGGAACTAAACCTGACGACGTTAGAAAGGAGATGGGAGAGGGGGAGACATGATACAGACGTATAAAATACTTAGAGATTTTTCAGGGTGGAAACAGGAATTTTGTACAATGAATATCAACAGAACAAGAGGGGGCACAGATGGAAGACTCGGATATGTCAGAGATGTTAGAAAGTTTTCCTTTAGCGTGAGGGTAGTGAGTAAATGGAATGACCTAAAGGAGCAGGATGTAGAGGCAAATTCCCTTCATAACTTTAAAAGCAGGTATGATAGGGAAAACAGGTCAAGAGTCATTGTTTTAGACAACCAACGGCTAGAAAAGCTGGGCCCAAGAGCTAGAGCTCGATCCTGCGGGCACAAAGAGGTGAGTACACACACAGTTCCCGTGAGGTACTCTTATCAGTTTCTGTGGTGAACGCAGCGTCTGAAAACTGTCTCCTCTGCAGACTGTATTTATAAGATGCTAAGTTATCTTAATTAAATAAATTATATCTTGCCGTAATTTAATTATCAATCCTGTAATTTACTGGTTCATTATTATATTTTTCCTGTATTTTAAATTCTTAGCAATGCAGGAAGATATACCCGGCCCTACCCGGGTCGACCCAAAAAGGTTGCATCCCCAGAATGCAAAGCTGCCATCTGAACATGCATTTAGCATTTCAGTATACCTGGTTGATACCTGGTTGATGGGGTTCTGGGAGTTCTTCTACTCCCCAAGCCCGGCCCGAGGCCAGGCTTGACGTGAGTTTAGTCCACTAGGCTGTTGCTAATATATAAATTGATTTTATATAAATTGATTTGTTGTTATTAAACTGGTACATCAGCATTAAGCAGCTACCCTAGGCCATGAAGGGTAACAGTGTCAAGAACATCTACGTGATGCTAAAAAATCCCATCTTACACTATGGTTAGGAAACAGAACCCTCTGTCATCAGTGTTACGTATCCCTAGTTTGGATACTCACATTAATTTGTATGAAGTAAAATATGTGAATTTATTTCTTTATATGAATAGGTACATATTTTTTAAATGTGTAGTATAGTTTGGCAAGACAGTTGAAGCAGGAGCGGGCTTGCTTTAGTCACACGTCTATTACCTGTTAGCTTCTGGACCAGAATTCTGTACCTGTTCATTTGTGGAATTGCCAGATGCTACCTCGTAATTAATACTTCAGTATTTACCTTTATTAAATACATTGTAATATTATTTATGTCATTAGCATGTTGCATTAGTTAAATTCATGTTATACCTGTGTTAGCACAATTGTGTGCTCATTAAATTAGTTGGGTTTAATTTTAAGTACTCGCTTGCCATCCTTATCTGAAGAGGGAAGTGGGGACTTGGGACTCTGTGAGAGTCAGTTACCTGGGAGACCTCACCGTGGCAACTTGTGTTGATAAGTGATGTGTGGTTTTATCTGTTGTTAGTAGTGTAGATTTATTTATCTGGAGTTATTATTGTTAATAATTCAACTATAAATTCTCTCGTGTTATTTGAAGTGATTTCCATTTTTATAGTATTGAGATACATGCATTCAGTTTATCTTTTTTAAATTATAGATATAAATATATATATAAATTTTGAGGTGCATGTTTATTTCTCCTACCTTTTAATTATTCTTGCTGTCCTACATAGGGGCACTCTGGTGTTGCCTTGTTTATAATAGTGCTCATCACCTAGACTAGAATTTTTACCACTATTAATTCAGCACGAGCTGTGCGCACTAGCTAGGTAACGATCAGTAGCCTGCACTGGCAAACCATTGATGAAAAAAAAGGATTGCGAAAAAATTGATCTCCATTGACTTCGTGGTGAAGTCAGAGGGATCGAAGGGGGCTGACCCAAACCCGCTATGTCAGTTCCCCCACAACCATTAGTCTTCTTGTAACGCATTATGAGGCTAGACCTAAGCGTCTGGCGTTTAACTCAGGACAGTCATCATCTGTTGTAAATATTTAGATAGAGAAAGAGGACGATGGTCTCACCTTCATCTCCGCTCCTTCAATGTCTATCGAGAAGTAGTCAATTTGCGTGATGTTGAGCGCCAGCAGAAGAGAGTAGAAGGGGATGGCCGTGGTTTGGAATGTTTGGCTGCTGTTTTTACTTATCCGGCTTAAGACTCCCAGACCTCCACTATATCTGTACACAATTGAAAGTGGGAAGTTATATACAAGTACACACTGTTACATATTCAGCAGTACGCATTTATAAATAAAATAAAAATAAAATGTGTATTCAGGTAAGGTACATACATACAAGAGATTTTACAAAATTTGATCGATTTATAGATGGAGCTAGTACATACAATGCCTACATACACAAGCTTCAGGCAGCAGTACACACTTCATTGTAAGTAGTGGGACTGACTACGAAACCACACCATTTTGGTTTGGTCAAACTATACACTTTCATAGTCACCCCTCAAAAGGTCCGTTTTGTATCTGGAAAAACGTTACACCTTCCATAGTCACCCCTGAAAGAAACCGTTTCAGTTTGGATAAACTGTTCAGTTCCGTAGCTAGAACTTTCAAAGGTACGAGAGACACACAGGACAAAATTTAGAAACAAATTTAGATTTATACAAATAAGAAACCCACAAAGACGAGTGTTAGTTCCTGGCCCCGCCTCTAGTCATACTCCTCTCTTGCATTGTAACTTCTGAACTGTCCGAAACGCTGTGCGTACCAGTGGCTTTACAAGAATGTAAACACATCATGCTATGTACTCTCACAAACCCAATGTACCTTCTTGTATATATATAAATAAATAAAATAAATAAAAACTACTGACGTTATATTTATGACATTTAAAACGGTCACATTTTGCACGGAGTCTAGGGGAAAAGAGCTAGTTCTTGGGCCCTGCCTCTAGTCATAGACCTCATTTTGCTGTTGTAGTTTGATAACAATTTGTTTGTTACGGTGGACATGAAACGCAGACACTAGGAACTGACAAGAATATACAGCCTCGTCTGGTCACACGGTGAGGGACTCAGGGACTGGTCACACGTTGAGGGACTCAGGGACTGGTCACACGTTGAGGGACTCAGGGACTGGTCACACGTTGAGGGACTCAGGGACTGGTCACACGTTGAGGGACTCAGGGACTGGTCACACGTTGAGGGACTCAGGGACTGGTCACACGGTGAGGGACTCAGGGACTGGTCACACGGTGAGGGACTCAGGGACTGGTCACACGTTGAGGGACTCAGGGACTGGTCACACGTTGAGGGACTCAGGGACTGGTCACACGTTGAGGGACTCAGGGACTGGTCACACGGTGAGGGACTCAGGGACTGGTCACACGGTGAGGGACTCAGGGACTGGTCACACGTTGAGGGACTCAGGGACTGGTCACACGATGAGGGACTCAGGGACTGGTCACACGATGAGGGACTCAGGGACTGGTCACACGGTGAGGGACTCAGGGACTGGTCACACGGTGAGGGACTCAGGGACTGATCACACGGTGAGGGACTCAGGGACTGGTCACACGATGAGGGACTCAGGGACTGGTCACACGTTGAGGGACTCAGGGACTGGTCACACGTTGAGGGACTCAGGGACTGGTCACACGGTGAGGGACTCAGGGACTGGTCACACGTTGAGGGACTCAGGGACTGGTCACACGGTGAGGGACTCAGGGACTGGTCACACGTTGAGGGACTCAGGGACTGGTCACACGATGAGGGACTCAGGGACTGGTCACACGTTGAGGGACTCAGGGACTGGTCACACGTTGAGGGACTCAGGGACTGGTCACACGGTGAGGGACTCAGGGACTGGTCACACGATGTTCCTCTTATTTACATTTATCTTATCCCATTTCCTGGGACATAACTCAAGAGAGTCACCATCTGTTGTAGATATAGAACATGAGACCGAGGAGGATGGTCTCACCTTCATCTCCGCTCCCTCAGTGTCAAGAGAGAAGAAAAAATCAATTTTCGTTAAAGCACAAAGTACTCATTACTGTTATGGGACATCGTTAAAAGGAATTATTAAACTCAGAAAAGAAAAATTCTTTACTTAACAAAACACTTCGAATGAATTAACTCAGAAATTGAACAATCACCTTAATGAAACCTTAATCATCACTAAGTATTAAACTAAGCACTTAGAACTTACCTTCAATGAAAATCTGGGCTTTACCGAATTACTCCATTAACAATTAAACAAAGAATGAGTTTTAACCATTCACAAGCATTCTCTCCACACCGGATCACTGGTCAGACTGTATTTGACCAAAATCACCTGTCCTGTAACAGACAACTGAACTCTCACCTCCCCATGTTTGGTGGATGTCACCCAGGTTGGTGAGGGGACACCCTCCACGGGTGCCCAGGGGAAGGAAAGGTAACCTTCGTGAAATCCTCTAACATTCGTCTCAGGCCATACTAATTCACTAGGCTCTCAAGCGGCCTTTCAAGGAAAAGTCCCAACTAGACTAACAGGCGTAAACAGGCTCTGGAACACCATAAATTGAACCATACAAGACCAGGTGGTCCCGGGAGGGTGGGTCATAAAACACTGCCTCTCACTCCACTCACCAACATACACAAGCTCTCGTTGTTACAAAGTAAAGGACATTTATGTATTATATTAGACCTAAAATAATGTGTCCAGTGTAGGCCCTGGATATCTTGGGCAAGGTAAACTATGTTCTTTAGTTTCAATTTATTTTGGAATGGCATTTGGGCAAATTTAATAATGCAAAGCTTTTTGGGTCCAACAATGTTTGTACGTTTGACTAAATCGTTGCTATAATAGCTATAATTTATGAAGGATGGGTAGCTATAATAGCACAATATATAATCGTGGTCATGAATTACAATATATGTAAGCTACTTACTGAAAGTGAACTTTTGACGAAATGTTGCTAATAGCAAGTGCTGTGTTGATGGAATAAGCTTTCCTGTGCTTCTGTTGCAGTTGCTGGTAGGTCCCTGGAAAAGCCTCAATGAGAAGCCCTGTCCAGCTGCGGTTCCTTTCGAGGAAGAGCGTGTTGCTGAGATGTTCCCCGTCCACGGCGCCAACCTCCACGAAGAAGCCGCCTGTCTGTAACGCACATTACAGTAGTTACAACTTCAGTCAATCAATGTTTATTCCAAAGAATGTGTGTACAAAGAACATGAGAGTAATGTACAATAGTAGGGACAAGAGTTACACATACTAGTGAAGTCACTATTACATTAAGTCCTTCCCGAAAAACATAACAAAAAGACCAGAAAGTTAACTACAAGTGCGAGGGGGTAAAACACTTAATACTAAGGAGTTAACAAAATGAGAACAATCATGAAAAATAACATATGAATGGAAAAATAACCGACACTTAAGAATGACAGGCATAGGCTATTGCAATATGGAGTCTGTAGTTGAAGCCGCAGTAGTAGGCATCCTTCAGTCTCGGGAGACTATGGAGTTGCGCCCTAGTTGTCAATCCTGGTGCAGCAGTACAGTAGTTTATTTACACTAATACTAGAATGAAAATGCAAGGTGTAGTTTAGAAAAGTAACTGGACACTTACTCATAACATTTTCTTTGTTAAGCTCAACACCGTCTGGAATCAGAAGATAAAATATCCAAAGTTTTCAGATTTAGGACCAGTTGTTACATCAACAGGGTGGTGCTAAACACTATCAGAGTTCTAGTTGTGATATTCTTCTTCTCTAGACCACTTGTGCATGCAAATGTCTCCTAATTTGCATATGGCAGACAGGTAGCCGTGATTATCTAGGAGGATAGAGATGCATAGATCGAGCAACTGGCCGCGATCCTCTGTATGGTCTTTTCTGACGTTTGTCCCAGTAAAGACAATGCCGTGAGAACAAGGCAGAGCCCTAGCTCAGATGATACTACCATGATCATTACTCACGATTCGTCTGCGCATTTTTTCTTCATTTCTGCGTGCACACACACGCAGTCTCGACGAACACGTGTGTGTAGCTGCAAGTGTAGTGGCTACACTTGCAGCTCGTCCCTCGGACGCCCCTTAAGGGAGTGCTCCCGCCACTTGTAAACGTGATACAGCTAAGCCTCCAACACATGGCTCCGAGTCGCCAACGTAAAACACTCTTCATAGTCTCTTTACTTAAAACACTCAAGTCTCTCACCTCGCTCACACTCATATAGGTGGACCAAGCATCTCTTGTCCACACAAACAACGTCTCCCCTCAGTGGAGTAAGCGTCGCTTGTCCCAATCACTACAAATAATATGCTGGTAATTCACCAGATCTTGACTAGGTAAATCCTGGGTAGCAAATATACTGGGCTCGATGGAAGCGGTCAGCTGCTATGGACACAAGTGGCTCCCTACCTCATCACATCTTCAGACGTAACGTGGCATTGGAAAATCCACCCTCTCACATTGGTTACAGGGGGGGGGATACTAAACACTGTTGATGGTTACAGTTTGTTTGAGATTAGGCTGTCTAAGTTAATGAATGATTGAGAAGGAACTTATTCCATACGCCTATAATGCTTGGTCCTGGGACAAAGGAGAGTCTTTGTCTGTACCTGGCGATATTACATTATATTACATGTAAAGAACATGGTTTTTATTATAAATTCATCACTAGACTGAATGGGAGGAGTAACAAGAATTCAGAGTGGGTCAGACATTTCCCTGCAGTACTCTCATCATGCTGTTCTTGGATAGTGCCATTCTATCCGACCAGTATTCAAGCCTCTATCTCAGGATGAAGGGTTAGCCAAACCTGCTCAAGGAGGGATCTGACCTAGGTAATTCATTTTAAACTGCATTTAAACTATGCGAGGCAGTTCCACTTACCTCAAGACTAAGAGTGCGTCCTGGGTACTTGATCGCCGCTTAACCTATATTATCTCCAGCTGACATTTGCTAAGAGAACGACTGATTACCTGACGAATAGTGGTTGGTTCCCGCCAAACACACACCGAAACTACGACGTTGGTACAACGTTCGAACAAGTTTTAACACCACCTAACCAGTTATAACAACCAATATAGCAAGTTGTAACAACGTTCTAATACGTCATAAACACGTTAAGCCAAGATGTAACAACTTTATTACAAGTTGTAACAAGCGGAAAATAGAGACAGTTTCGGTTTGTGTTTCCAGGGTTAGCTCTTTTAGAGAGCGTGCAGCAAAAGACCGAAGACGACCCTAGAATAGTCTAATCTTCAGGCCTCCAAACTGCTTCTAGATCCACAATGAATACTTCAGTTTCCAAATACGTGTCATGGAACTGAAGTGTTAACTTAAACCTTCGTCCAGCAGTAGATCTAGGAATGTTGATTGATACCGCCGAAGGCGGCTAGTTTATTGTGCACCCCATACTCATCCTGTGAGCGGTAGCGCAAAAGCATTACAGAGGGCACAAAAGGTCTTTATCAGACCTCATCTTAGATTATTACATAAACAATTTCTTCTATCCTTCACACCTTATAGTTACAATGTCAGCTAGTTACAGAGAAAGTGCTATTACAAGAGCTACATATTTACTGTAAGTCATCATACATTAATGGTAGGTCTTATCGCTAATACATAATAGTTTGACCAATGGGGATATTACAGAGTCATAGGGGAGCTTCTATTTATTATTAGTACTCACAATACACTACTTGTTTCTGAATCTCGTATGTCGTTCATCTACTGGAAGCGAAATGTGGGTACAGTGCAAGGATTTCAGGTAATTTATCCATGGTAATAAGATAGGTTGCCATATCATACAGAGTGAGCTTAGATTTATCTCTAAAAGGCTCAATTTTACTACAATCCAAGATAGGAATGTCGTCACATGGCATCCTCATCTCACTCTCCATCTTTCCAGTCATCTCGTAAGCTCAATGTAATATAATATCTCGCCAGGTTTGTGGACTAGCCATAGACCATTATCTCATCCATGTATTGTGTAAATCAAGTCTTGCCTGATTTACTTGATTTAGTAAATCACGCAGCTAACTCCTTTTTTCCGACGCGTGTGGTACTCAATCCTTTGTATAGCTTACCCATCGTGTGTACACATCTGTTGATCATGGAGTGTGCGAGTGTATTCTCTCACGTGTGTACCGTGTGAGCCCCGTGACTCTGTACTCCTGCGTCGAGCAGGCGGCAACATATCAACATTATATTTATTTCTTCAAAAACAATACTTGCCATGCCATGTAACACTTCGTTGTCGACGTATTGGGACTGGCCATACTGTGAGAAGTGCTGCTTAGTCGGGTTACTGAGGTTGTAGGGTAGCTGGGAGGGCGGCTGGAGGAGATTGTGACGGATGTAGTTCACCAGGGCCGGGTCGTCCTGCGCTGCTCCCTCCATTGTTTCTCTCGTCAGCACCCGCTCCGTCGCCACCACCATTGTTTCTTCTCTCAGCACCCGCTTCGTCGCCACACTTCGCTCCACATCTGTCCACAGTTTGAGCAACTTTTAAACAGTAATAAACAAGAAGTTTTATTATAATTATCATAAAGAAATAGGTGAAAAAATTCCCACTTACCTGTGGGGGCCCGCCCCAAGTAATATTCTAGAGCTTGTGCCAACATCAGAAGAAGGCATGATCGATGAAATACAGCTAGGGGAGAAACTTGCCCTCTTTGTGTGATCACAATATTTTTAGACAGATTACAATTATAGAAACTTGTAAAGGTTCAGAATGATGAATATCTAGAATATCTTCGAGGAGACTATCAAGGAAAGAGAGAAAATACCTCCTGGAGGAAGTTAATACCCGTGTAGTAGAATAAGGTGTGGAAGAATCATGCGAAACCCGACATTAAAGTGCCGTAATAAATAAGCGCGAATAAGACCAGCCAAAAGGAACTACAAGATTAAACCTGCTCAACCCAAAGGAAGAGCAAAAGGTTTTCTATGTCTATATAAGAAGTAAAAAACAAAAACACGACCATTAAAAGTTAAGATTAACCAAGTTATAATGGACGATAAAAGGCCAGCAAACAATGAATGAATACTTTACGTCAGTGCTTACGCTAGAGAGTACGCAACATACCAGTACCCACACAGTGTTTGAAGCAGCTGAAAGGAATGAATATAGGGATATCCCCATAACATGCGATGTAATCAGGAAAAGCTCTGCCAAACTGAAAAATTCAAAGGCAGAGGTGTGGACGAAATTCAGTGCAAAGTTGTTAAGGAACTGTCAGATGAACTACGCCTACAACTGAAATTTTTTCCTGTTTCTGGACCAAGGAATAGTTCCCCTAGATTAGAAATATGAAAATGTTACCCATAATGTTTAAAACAAAGAACTGCGTTCGTCGTCCTAAACAGAAATGAATTTAACTGGATAAATGAGGCAAGTGGGCTACCGCAAGGGTACATTTTGGGGCCATCCATTTTTGTCACACATGAATGCCATGAGAATATCACAAACCACATCAAATTTCCTGATGACACAAAGATTTATAGTAAATATATACACTAAATATATACACAATATATACAAATATATACACACTTGGAATACGACGACGTTTCGGTCCGTCCTGGACCATTCTCAAGTCGATTGTGAGACAAATCGATCCACAATCGACTTGAGGATGTTCCAGGACGGACCGAAACGTCGTCGTCCCTTCACCTTCTAAGTGTGTGGTCTGGTCAACATGCTTTAGCCACGTTATTGTGACTCATCGCCTGCTAGTGAAAATGACATCGAGGCCTTACAAAGAGACCAACATGAACTACACAAGTGGTCGAAAAATACAAGACTTGGCATGTGGGGCATAACAATGCGATTCACAACCACCAAATCAACAACATAACCCTGCAGCAGATTGCGGAGGACAGGAACCTTGGAATCGGAACCTACAAATCCCTGAAAGTTGTACAAGTGTGAGTTACAGTAAAAAAGACCCAACAAAATCTTGAGAATAGTCAAACGTAAATTTGATCTACGGGAAAAGAAGGTAGTTTTCAAATGAATAAATATCTGGTCTCTCCCCACTGATTATTGTATCGAAGCATCTTGAGATGTTATCTTGAGATGATTTCGGGGCTTAGCGTCCCCGCGGCCCGGTCATTTGGGATTTTTTTTTCAACACCAGTAAGTTAAGGGTCCTCTGATAGGTTAGGTGGGCAGGAATTTTTCATAAAGTTTCAAAACGTTATGAAAAACGTTAATGGAAAGTTGCCTCTTCTAAGCTTGCCGAGTAAGCCGGACGACTCAAACAAAAAACAGAACAGTACGTCACTTTTGTGAGTCGATTTCATTTCAAATTACGTCTAAATTTGGCCATAGCGCGCATACGGGCGGAAAGTGACGTTATTTTTAAGAGGACGGGTTGGGGAACCAGTATACCTGGGAATGAACGCATCTACGATTCAATGTAGCTATGACTCAACATACCTGGAGAGTAGGCAGACCGTATGCTTATCTGTTCTTTGTTTACGACGATGAAGAACACAAGGAACACGAAAGACACAACCATGGCGATCTCTGTAGCCTTCCCCCTTCCCCTGCAGTGTGGTTTCTGCATCCTGTGGGCGATAATATTACAAGTTAGCATCCTCGTGTGTCAGGTAAGGGGTATATTATATATCAGTCAATATACACCAACAAATGGGATACACATCTCTCAGCGTATACACTGACAACACAATGGTTAACCATAAACTCCTTTACTGGTAATAATTATGGTTAAAGTTTTAGATTTTACACTGAATACAATTATATAAACTATTGTACAAGCTGATAACAACCTTCATTTTCTCCAATCCTAACCCTCTTACTCGGAATGATACGGTGAATACTGAACTAAATAAAGTTCCTCTTTGGCTAACTGCTAACAAACTCACCCTTAACATTGACAAAACATTCTATATTTTGCTTGGAAAAAATCCTCAGATCAAATTAATCTAAGAATTAACAATATCCAAATTAGTAACAAAGTAGACTGTAAATTCCTAGGTGTTCTAATTGATAAGTTGAATTTCCTGGGCCATATCCAAAATATAGTAAAAAAAAGTTTCTAGAATAGTTGGTATTCTTTTTAAAATCAGATACTATGTACCATGTCCTGCCCTGGTGACGCTCTATTACTCTCTCATCTATCCTTATCTCAATTATGGTATCAGTGCTTGGGGTTCTACTACCCAAAACCATCTACGTCCTCTATTTACAAACACAAATCTGCTATTAGAACAATAACAAACTCTGGCCCCAAACAGCACTCAGGCCCCTTAACATCTTTGAATATGTTAGATATTAAGTCACTGGACATCCTCTCAAATGTGCTCTATATATTTAAAACTCTGAAATATAATGTCAATCCTGACCTCAAAAGCTTCCTAGAAGGTTGTAACAGAACCCATGAGCACCACACCAGAAATAAATACCAATTTGACATTCCAAGAGTGCGACTTAACCAAACTAGATATGCTATGCAAATCAAGGGACCCAAAATGTGGAATGACCTTCCCAATCATGTCAAAGACTGTACCTCTATCAACCAGTTTAAGAGAAAAACTCCAAGTAATCTACCTTACCTACTAAATGTCAATCTATGTCTTGCTATTTCTAACAAATATTGATTATTAATTAACTGTAAACTTTACAGTCTCCGTGGTGTAGTGGTAAGACACTCGCCTGGCGTTCCGCGAGCGCTGTCATGGGTTCGTATCCTGGCCGGGGAGGATTTACTGGGCGCAATTCCTTAACTGTAGCCTCTGTTTAACGCAACAGTAAAATGTGTACTTGGATGAAAAAACGATTCTTCGCGGCAGGGGATCGTATTCCAGGGACCTGCCCGAAACACTACGCGTACTAGTGGCTGTACAAGAATGTAACAACTCTTGTATATATCTAAAAAAAAAAAAAAAAAACTGAATTAACTGCTGATATATCCGCCATGTATAAACTTAAAGAAAATTGTAGTCTTCTGTTTATTTAATTCAAATTACTTCTGCTGTTCTGTTTAAATTTCTGCTGTTCCGTCCACCATGTAATTATTATCATTCTTTTTTCTTTTCTTTTTTTCTTTTTCAGTTCAATTTATGCTTTTGATCTCAATTAACTTTAAGTTTTAGTGTAAGTGTTTTTCCAACACCTTGGCCTACACGCTGTGCGTATTAGTGGCTTTAGGAATAGTTTGTATTAGCTCTATCTAGAAATCCAAGAATCTGTTTGTAATTCATCTTTTATGTATGTACTTTTACCTGAATAAACATTTTATAATTAAATATTATATATATATATATATATATATATATATATATATATATATATATATATATATATATATATATATATATATATATATATATATATATATATATATATGCGAACAAGCCTGAATGGTCCCCAGGACTATATGCGAATGAAAACTCACACCCCAGAAGTGACTCGAACCCATACTCCAAGGAGCAACGCAACTGGTAACTACAGGGCGCCTTAATCCACTCGACCATCACGGCCGTCAAAAGGAAGTGATAGCCAAGGCTATTTGAGCCACTTTCCCGACTGCAACTCGGATGGGAAGTGGCTCAAATAGCCTTGGCTATCACTTCCTTTTGACGGCCGTGATGGTCGAGTGGATTAAGGCGCCCTGTAGTTACCAGTTGCGTTGCTCCTGGGAGTATGGGTTCGAGTCACTTCTGGGGTGTGAGTTTTCATTCGCATATAGTCCTGGGGACCATTCAGGCTTGTTCGCATTTGTGTTCCTCACGTGTGCCCCAAAGAATGAGGTGATTTGGTGAAATGCTATGCCCAAGATTACCATCCGAGTTGCCGTCGGGGAAGTGGCTCAAATAGCCTTGGCTATCACTTCCTTTTGACGGCCGTGATGGTCGAGTGGATTAAGGCGCCCTGTAGTTACCAGTTGCGTTGCTCCTGGGAGTATGGGTTCGAGTCACTTCTGGGGTGTGAGTTTTCATTCGCATATAGTCCTGGGGACCATTCAGGCTTGTTCGCATTTGTGTTCCTCACGTGTGCCCCAAAGAATGAGGTGATTTGGTGAAATGCTATGCCCAAGATTACCATCCGAGTTGCCGTCGGGGAAGTGGCTCAAATAGCCTTGGCTATCACTTCCTTTTGACGGCCGTGATGGTCGAGTGAATTAAGGCGCCCTGTAGTTACCAGTTGCGTTGCTCCTGGGAGTATGGGTTCGAGTCACTTCTGGGGTGTGAGTTTTCATTTTCATATATATATATATATATATATATATATATATATATATATATATATATATATATATATATATATATATATATATACACACAGAATAGGGGTGGTAGGAGAAGAAAATATCAGTGTTTAGTGAGGATCCACAAGGTCTTCTCTGAGTACTCTTTATTTTCTTCTTCGAGGCTGTGGGTCCCTGCACTTGCACCAGAGGTGGTACCCCTTCTAGGTTTATAATATATATATATATATATATATATATATATATATATATATATATATATATATATATATACTATATATATACTATATATATACTATATATATACTATATACTATATATATATTATATATATATATATATATATATATACTATATATAAAGACAGTACTATAAAGAAGTTCTAAATACCTTACGCTTGGTGAACACAGCGAGCCGCTGAAGTTGAAGTTGTCCCGACCAAATCAGAAGCGAAAATGGATGCACTTGTCCCGCCCAAGTCATGAGGAAATATGGATACACCTGTCGCGTTCGTAAAACACGTACACACTTGCCTTGCACACTTGTATTCTCTCGACATATAAGATATACATGATAATGCTGTATAACAGAAGGGACACTATCCCGCATGAAGGCTCTATAAAGGCACAAGGTTTCATAAATAGGCAAAAAAAATGGAATATTAGATTAGACTTCCGAAAAGAGGGAATATCAGGTCAGAGACTTCCTGGCGGGATAACATGAAAAGATAACTAGTAGGAAAATTAAAGCAAATTTTGTGATACCTGATACCTGGTTGATGGGGTTCTGGGAGTTCTTCTACTCCCCAAGCCCGGCCCGAGGCCAGACTTGACTTGTGAGAGTTTGGTCCACCAGGCTGTTGGTGAGCTCCGAGAAGCTGAGGGGAGATTGATACCTTCACGGAGGCATAAGGGGACCAAGAGGAACAGTTGCTCATGGTTGCTGTGACAGGCGGTAAATAAAGGCAAAGAGAATACAATAGATATGGAGAGGACAGAACAGAAGGAAATCCCAATGTATACGAAAGTGCACAGAATAAGTACTCAGCCACCAGCAGTGTAGCGGAGAAGCAGTAGGAGAATGACATAACAAACAAGGTCTAAAATGTTCCATACCGACATCCGGAGGAAGATGACTGAACGACCAGGTGACTGGACTCCACAAAAGCAAAGAGGGCCACTTAATAATTTATAAAAAGAGTTGGAGAAACTTGTACACAAGTTTACAAGAAATCTAAGGTGGAACCTGATCTGCCATTAGAAGTCACCTTTGTAACACACTTGCCTCAAACACTGCCGCCACCACTAACATTTCTGACAGTCCAGTACTACCGTTATTGTACGACTATGGTAACACTCACTGTAATGGTTACTATAATGTAACCCTGTATGCTGTAATAATTGTATTAATTAAGAATGCATTGAATGCTTCCCAAAAAACTGGGAAGAGTTCGCCCTCGTAGCAGAAAATGTTCAAACCAGTTATCAGGGGAAGGTGGAGAGAAATACCATGGGGAGCAATATCGGAGTCCCGTTTTCTGTTTTGGGTCCTCTGGGTTAGTCTGTTAGGTTAGGAGAGGACACTTTCAATTAACAGTTTTCATGACGTTTTGAAACCTTAGGAGAACTTCCTGCCCGCCTTACCCACCAGAGGATCCAAAACTTGCTGCTTTAAGTGCATTTCATTTGGAAAATTTATTTCCATTTTTTGTTGTAAATTCCAATACGGCGATTTTTTTTGCCGTAACCATACGAGCGAAAAACGAGGTAATTTGTAAGAGGACGGTCGGAGCGGACAGCACACTGGACTTGTGATCCTGTGGTCCCGGGTTCGATCCCGGGCGCCGGCGAGAAACAATGGGCAGAGTTTCTTTCACCCTATGCCCCTGTTACCTAGCAGTAAAATAGGTACCTGGGTGTTAGTCTGCTGTCACGGGCTGCTTCCTGGGGGTGGAGGCCTGGTCGAAGACCGGGCCGCGGGGACACTAAAGCCCCGAAATCATCTCAAGATAGAAGATCTCAAGATAACGGCCTGGTGTGTGATGCATATAAAAACAAATGATCTTTTTTACAAGTAAGTAGTACAGTCGGGTTCGTTCTCGATCTGAATTGGGAACTCTGTGTTCGAATCCCAGGGTGTGACAAACATTTGAGTGCGTTCCCTATCACCCAATGCTCCTGTTCACCTAGCAGTAAAATAGGAGCCCAGGTTGGTGAGGTTGTTGTGGAGTTGCATCTTAAAGGTGGGTGGGTGTCAGTAGTGCCACCCTGGGTGGGTGGGGGGGGGGCCTCGATATATGTACTGTATAAATAAAGTGGCTGCCTGTCCCCCGACACAATTTAAAAAAAAAATTGCCATAGATTCAAGCTAAGGAAACAAAGGTGCCGAAAATAGTAGAAAATTGTCTTAAGCAGAGTGGTAGACAGTTAAAACAAGTGAGAAGTTAAGAGGTTAAAACCGTCAGGAGTTTCAAAGTGTTATATGACAGTATTGGGAAGACCGGACACCACGAGCGTAAATACACAGGTAATTACACAAATAACTAGCATCACCAGACAAAACTGTTGGACCAGACAACGCATGGCCCAACCAGTTCTCGCACTTGCTTACAGTCAATATTAGCTTATTTAATAAGTGCATATGTGACATATCAACCAACGCCATGGTTAAAAAAAAGCGTCACAGGTCCTCGGCGTACCTCTAGCTAAGCCCTAGTGGCATCTTTAACTAGCCACTTACAAAGTGGCAATTTGCCCAGCTACTGGAAAATGGCGTATATGGTACCAATTTACCAATATGTATCAAGATGGTACAATTTACCAATTTGGTACCAAAAGTTTTTTTTTTCGCGTAAGAGCAGTGGGGAGTGGAATGAACTAAATGACCAAGTTGTGGAAGCAAAGTCCATAAAAAAAATTTTCAAGACAACAGGTCAGGAGTTATTGCATTATAGAACGGGAGGCTAGAAAGGCGGGGTACTAGAGCTAAAGTTCAATCCTGCAGACACAAACAAGTGAGTATAACAAAACACGCACAGGAAAGCCTGGCTGTGGTAGTAAATGATAACACACGCGTCCTCTCACTCACATCTAGCACTCAACCAAACACTCGTCAGGTGAGGACGCACGCACACCGCACATACACACACACACACGCCACGCGAGGACGCACACACACATGCCACGCGAGGACGCACACACACACATGCCACGCGAGGACGCACACACACACTTGCCACGCGAGGACGCACACACACACATCACCTCTCAGGTCTGTTGCCTTTTCTCTGATCTATCTCTCATCTCTATCAGCACTTTCTTTCATCCTTCTCGAGTCTTTTCAGCCTTTTCTCCAGCTCTCTTACCTATTAAATCTCTCGCCAGCTCTCCCAAACATAGTCTCACTGGGATAACAAATATATGTATGTATACCCACTCACACTCAAGCGGGAATATGTATACATGGCCAACATGACCGTCATGAGGGAGGTGAGGGAAGACATGGCCAACATGACGGAAACAATAACCAAGCTTGAGGAGGAGTTAAGGTCAAACAAAGAGAAATTAAAAAAAAAAATGCAGAAAACCAGCTCATACCGAGAATGGAACAAATTGGTTACTAGAGTTCAACTGTAGCAAGTGCAAAGTAACACGCTGGGTTTGGGGAATCTAAGACCAAACACAGGCATCACATGGGAGAGGAAATCCAATTTTAATCGGACAGAGGAAAAGGCTTAAGGGGGTTGATATTACAGCCACCCTTTCATCAGAAACCCACACCAAAACAATATTCTCAGCTGCATACGGAACATTGGCTAATATGGGAGAAAAGATATATATATATATATATATATATATATATATATATATATATATATATATATATATATATATATATATATATATATATATAGATATATATATATATATATATATATATATATATATATATATATATATATATATATATATATATATATATATATATATATATATATATATATATATATATATATATATATATATATATATATATATATGCAATTGACGATCACAAAACACTGATCATTTTATGCGGAAAATCCACAGAGAAATATGAAATGAGGTGAACGTTTCGGCTCTGTTAAAGCCTTTGTCAACACCAGACTGACTACATCAGTCAGTCTGGTGTTGACAAAGGCTTTAACAGAGCCGAAACGTTCACCTCATTTCATATTTTTCTGTGGATTTTCCGCATATATATATATATATATATATATATATATATATATATATATATATATATATATATATATATATTCATCAGGGAATAAAAATAAATATTTGTCATTCAGTACCTTATTTCCTTGGGTAAGAGTGACCACGTCCTTTCGGTAATAAAATATGCAATGCCTTATAATCTAGAAGAGAATGAAGAAATGAAAAAATTTGAAAACGTGATTTCAGGAGTGGACAATATAAGGAGCTTAGAAAGTTCTTTAATGAATTTGATTGCAAAAATATGTTGTTAAGCAAGGACATAAATGAGATGTATGCAAAATTTTGTGAAATATTTGATGAAGGTACGGCGAAACTTACACCAAGACAGAGGTGCAGAACTGAAAGCAAAATTGATTTAACATAAAATTTGAGAGGGGCGGAGAATGTAGTACAAAGATGGAATCAATAGGAAGGGGGGGAGGCTGCTTTCAATTTACCAGTAATACATACAAACAAGAAACAACCACATGACAGTGAGAAGAGAGGCAGAACGAAACCTTGATAAAACGATTTCATAAAAGTGTAAAACAGATCCAGACATAGTCTATAAGTTCATCAAAAGAAAATTCTAGGTAAAGGATAAAATCTAGAGATTGAAAAGGGGGAAACAGATTCACGGACAATGAAAAGGAAATGTTTGAAACACTAAATCAACAGTTCCAAAGTGTCTTTGTGAAAAAAAACGAAGTGCTCAGACAACCAGACACAATACACAGAATTTCAGTGAATTTAGAGTACATAGAGGTGTCTCGAGACGACTTGGAAGAAATGCCCAAGGAGCTGGGTGGAAACATGACAGTGGGCCCGGATTGAGTTTCATCTTTGCTTCTAAGAGAATGTGCATTGGTGCTGAGCACTTCATTCAATTGAATTTTCAATCACCTTTTGTGCACAGGAGTCTTGGCAGATATATAGAAAAAGGCAAACAGTTCTAATCTTCAAAAATGGTAGCAGGGAAGGCCCTCTTAATTATAGACTTGTATCATTGAGAGGCGTGAAACTCAAAACACTAGACAAATTATTAAAACCAACTGGGGAGAAAACCTGGAGAGAAATTATATAACAAGCAGACAGTACGGGTTTCGAACCGGAAGACCCTAACCAAGGAAGATGGTTAACAAGACTACTTAGCTACTATGATAGACCCACCGAGATTTAACAGGAGAGATGGTTAACTGACTGCAATATCTGGACCTAAGAAAAAAATACTTTTGACAGTCGCACATAAGAGGTTATTCTGGAAACTGGAACATATTGGAAGGGTGACAGGGATACCTCTGATATGGATGACAAATTTTCTGACGGAAAAATGACGGTAGTAATTAGAGACAATGTATCAGACAGGAGAAATGTTACTGGTGGAGTATTATAGGGTACACCAGTAATGTTCATTGTCTATATAAACGATCTACCAGGAGAAATCCAGAATTATATGAGCATGTTTGCTGATGAAGCTAAGATACTAAGGAAAATATGAAACTTTGACGACTGGCATGCCCTTCAAGATGACCTGGACAAAATACGTGTATGGAGCAACACTTGGCAAATGGAATTTAATGTGAATAAATTCATGTTATGAAATGTAGATTAAGAGAAAATAGGCCACACACATTCTTCATATCATGTGAAAACGCTTTAAAGAATTCTGATAAAGAAATCTAGGGATAGTTCTGGATAGAAAGCTTTAAAGAATTCTTATAAAGGGATGTAGAGATGGTTCTGGATAGACAACTGTCACCCGAAGACCACGTGAAGAACATTGTTTCAGAAGCCTAGGCTACGCTTTCCAACTTTTACTTCAGAATTGTTTTTCAATACCTGTATGCCGAAATCTTAAAAGAAATTGTTCACGATTTCTGCAAGACCAAAATTGGAAAATGTAGCGGATTTATGGTGTCCGTATCTCAAGAAGCTCATCAATGAAGTGTAAAAAAAATGCAAAGACATGCAAATAACTGGCTTTCGGAACTGAAAACAAGAGCTATGAGGAAAGACTTAAGGTGTTAAATATGCCACAGCTTGAAGATAGAAGAAAAAGAGGTGATGCAATCGCTACGTACAAAATAGTAACAGGACTCTAGAAAACTGACAAATAAAAAACCTTGAACACCGCAACTTCAAAAACAAGAGGTCATAGATTCAAGATAAGGGATCATAGCTGCCGAAAACACATTAGAAAGTTCATTTTTGCAGCGTGGAAGACGGAAGGAATATATTAGGTGGGAAGGTGGTGGAGGCCAAAACCGTCAGTAATTTCAGTGCGTCATGTGACGAGCGTAGCTCTCATCCTCTTACTACACTTAGGTAACTACAATTAAGTAACTATACGTAGACAACAATGACGAAACTACACGTGAACACACCTGAGCCACACACACTCGTCATCATCAAATATTTTATGTAGATCGTGCAGATAAAGAACAGTTGATTCCGCACTCCCGCCACAGTAGTAGTGCACACCAACAAATAATTTTCCTCGTCTGAATCCGAAAGTGAAACAGGTGAGAAAATACAATATATTAATGCAACAGCATATAATAACGTACTCCAACCGATGATGGTTATAGCTATACATTTATGAAATTGAGATCCTGTACCACAAACTGTGTTCTCTCTGTAGAGTCCACCCCTGCACCACTACAGTGTTCTCTCTGTAGAGTCCACACCTGCACCACCACAGTGTTCTCTCTGTAGAGTCCACACCTGCACCACCACAGTGTTCTCTCTGTAGAGTCCACACCTGCACCACCACAGTGTTCTCTCTGTAGAGTCCACCCCTGCACCACCACAGTGTTCTCTCTGTAGAGTCCACACCTGCACCACCACAGTGTTCTCTCTGTAGAGTCCACCCCTGCACCACCACAGTGTTCTCTCTGTAGAGTCTACCCCTGCACCACCACAGTGATCTCTTATTTTCATGTTTAAGATGTCATGAACTTACAACATGTCGGAGAAAGATATACAAAGGTGATGCTTCATTCATATATTTATTTACTTTATATATTATACATTAATCAATACATTATGCATTAAGCTCAGTATTATAACCACCTGTATACAATACATCGATACAGACACGACTGCTTAATTAGCATAATTATATCTAAATTATTGAATTAAATTATAATGGATGACATCGTTTTTTTAGTGTACGAGGTGGTTAATTTTCCTACGGCGCCTACGTATTGTGAGCCTCCCCTCAAAACAGTGTATTGGGCCAATTAGTCATCGTTGTAGTCCAGAGTGACCTTTTAGAGTAGCTTTCACCAGGTGCACCACGCATGCTAAAGTCCGTGGTGGAGATCACTGCTGTGGTTTAGACCGAGTCACTTAGACACGCCAGACACAAGGAGCACCCTTGGTGAGGCAGCAGTCCACCGCTTAAGAAGCACCTCCAGCACCAATAACACGGACGCTAACAACAGTCCTAGCCAAAAAGAACCATTGCTTAGTGTTATGACCAGGACTGGTCTTTGTGACGAAACAACGGATATTTTGAGCAATCAAATAATATGTGGGAATGTGAGAGCGGTTACGCCTACCAGGCTGCCCTGGTATGATTAATTTATACCATAAAAGCTATTGGCTGGTTCTAAGAGACGGAATTATGTGAGATACTTAATTATTAGACAGCCAGAAGATTATATCATATAAGGACATGGTTGTAAATGTTTGGTGGCGGTAATACATTTGTAGAATTAGTCGTTATTATACGAGATTTGGACAGGCAGCAGCGGGTTGAAGACGCTGTTTTTTAATTTGAAAATGGCTACCTGATCTACTTGGTGTACAATGTAAACTGGTGGAATTCATATGGCAGTTAAGTTCACCACTCTTTACATGTAGTGTTAATTTAACATGTAACTTCAACATACTCGAAAGTGTTTGTGTTTTATTGAAGTCGACTTGAAGAGGATATTTAATGTATTGTGAGGTTTTGGGGGGAACTTTATACTGTGCTTCCATCAGAAGTTTTTGGGCTTGCCTAGAATGTTTTGATTGTAGGTCTTAATCTCTATCCAAGGAAGATTCTGTTCATAGAGAAACGCCAATAGGCAATACCAGGGGTGTTGTTATGGATAGTGGATTCTGTGATAATAAAGCAAATAATGACACCTACGTCTTCATAGCCTGTGTCCAGTGTGTAGTTAATTGATATACCTCGCAACAAGTTAAATTTGGGAATCACTTTCCCCTGGAGGGTCGAACCTAGTCTACTTCAGCTGGAGGGTGTATTACCATGTACGTTCTAAGTATATTGTCAGCCCTATAACACAGGATAGTGGCAGATCACAAACTACTATTATTGTTGTTTACCACCACGGCTCATAATAGTGGCTAGGCTAGCATAGTTTTAAAGTGGCTAGGCTAGAATAATTTTAAGAGTAACTAGGCTCGCATAATTTTATTATTGACATGAAAAATTAATATTGACACAACCCAGAATATATGTTTATATATTTTGTGCATGTAGAAACGCAATTCATTGCACAGTAGAATAAGTATTTGTATAATTAGCTTTCAAATGCATTGACTTATATCTTAAGAGAGTTTTATAATATTGCTATCATGTATTTTAGTCAGTGGAGAAAAGCAACGGTCGCCACATAGTAGAAATATAGAAATATTTAATATAGAAGAATAATAGAATTATATATATAATTATATATAGAATAATATAGAAGGAGAAATAAATACTCCTTGCTTACCCTACCTTATGCTGCTTTAGCCCTCCGACTCTGTCTATCTGTTCTCTGGCAGTTTCATTTGCACCACGACGCTTTAAACGTTATTAAACCTTGTAACAAGGCAATGATATTTCAATTTCTTTCTTTATTATGCACCCCATACCCATCCCGTGGGCGGTGGTGTAAAGGATTACAGAGGCACATAATCGGTTCAGGAACTGAACCCTCTAGTTCGTTTAGCTAAGCAAATAACAATGTTTGACGCTAGTTACAAAATTATTAATGTTGTATACGATAGTAAAATAGTTATTTGGTTACGGCTGGCCTTACCTGCCGAGTACACAGCAAAGACACCATAGAAATCGTTCAGGTGGAGTGGCGTGAGATTGTTGTTGGGTGTGGTGAAGGACATGGGCTGCAGACATATTGTTCCGTTCCGAACGGCTTTCTTAACCGTGTAGTCGAGGATACCAGACTCCTTCAAGTTGGTAATTCTGCAAATACAAGAATGGGTAAATTTATTATTTTTAATCTCTTCTTTTTTCCAATTTATGAGAGTACTTTTGTGGCAATTAAATATCATGAATATGTTACAAATGAATTCTTTTCTCTTTATTAAATATACAGTATAATTGTCATATATACATTATTTAACAAAGGAAATACAGTACTACATATTATACAGTGTGTATAATTATCTGTTAAACCAATTTTTCATATAACAGAGCATGAGCCTTAAACCCCAAACTGTCTTTATCTTAATGTATTTCTTTGTATCTATGCTTTCAAAATATACGTCGTAGTATAATAATAATTAATAACTCATTGTGTTGGGGACAGGCAGCCGGAGTGTATTCATACGTATTAGGCTTATATCGAGGCTTTCTGACCCCGCCCAGGATGCAACCTCCACAACAAGCTGACTTAACTCCTGAGTACCTAGTTACTGCTAGGTGAACAGACGCATTAGGTGATAGAAAGTGTGCCCATCTATTTCTGTTCCGCCCAGGATTCGAACCTGGAATTCTCGATTGCAAGTCGAGAAGGAAGTCGACTGTACTACTGGGACCCTCTTAGTGGTACCGGTAGTGACAGATGCTCCAAGTTACTGACGCACATAAGTTAATAATATAAACATGAGATACCAAGGGTGTATAGCATTTTGCTAGGCCTCCCAAAGTTGTAGTTTTCAAAGCCTTCCAAAATGTAAAATTTTGATAAACCTCCCTATGTGTTATATTTGGCTAGGACACCCAAAGTGTAGTATATTGCTATGCCTCTTAAATATTCGGTATTTTGTAGTGACTGCCCAAACTTCTTTTCTCGAGGCGTGGGTCTGCTGCTGACGGCTGGGTGTGCAACATAGGGATTTCAAGAACGAATACAACAAAATAACTTAAGGAGCTCTCAGAAACATTTGAAAGTGTTTAAAGTTCCTAACAAACACACATCTCTATTTTATACTTACATAGTGTTGAACCTTATCTTCAGCGGTGAGTCCTTGGGGTATGCGAAGCTGAGAGGGAGGGCGGTGAGGAAGGCCTCCGGAGCCACGTACATGGGACATGTTGCTGTCTGTTGGAACATTTGTTCGAGCTAGAAAATGGCTTGAATTGATAATCGCAAAAGCCATTTTTAACATCTTGAAAAGTACATATTAATAAAGGATTCACAACATGGTTTTATAGAGGGAAGCTTGTATTTAAACAAAACTTTCCCCGATCTTTACAAGTATATATATCAAGCAGATGGCAGATGGCAAGGGAAAGAACATTTTATACCTTTGACTTTCAAAATGCCTTTCATAATATGCCTCACGAAACTCATTTGAAAGTTAGAGGCACATGGTACTGGACGTATTATCTTAAGTTGGATTTGGGAATGGTTATGTCAGAGAAAGCAGAGTGTGTAATTCCTATATATATATAGGAATAAATGTTGTGAAAAACATATATCATGTTGGTGATGCCGACGATATATATATATATATATATATATATATATATATATATATATATATATATATATATATATATATATATATATATATATATATATATACATGAGAGAGAGAGAGACCTTTGAATAAATGTTGTGAAAAACATATATCATGTTGGTGATGATGCCGACGATGGTGGCGTACTTGCCGGCGGAAATGTGTATATATATATATATATATATATATATATATATATATATATATATATATATATATATATATATATATATATATATATATATATATATATATATGTCGTACCTAGTAGCCAGAACGCACTTCTCAGCCTACTATGCAAGGCCCGATTTGCCTAATAAGCCAAGTTTTCATGAATTAATTGTTTTTCGACTACCTAACCTACCTAACCTAACCTAACCTAACATTTTCGGCTACCTAACCTAACCTAACCTATAAAGATAGGTTAGGTTAGGTTAGGTAGGGTTGGTTAGGTTCAGTCATATATCTACGTTAATTTTAACTCCAATAAAAAATAATTGATCTCATACATAATGAAATGGGTAGCTTTATCATTTCATAAGAAAAAAATTAGAGAAAATATATTATTTCAGGAAAACTTGGCTTATTAGGCAAATCGGGCCTTGCAAAGTAGGCCGAGAAGTGAGTTCTGGCTACTAGGTACGACATATATATATATATATATATATATAATACATGAGAGAGAGAGAGACCTTTGAAGAATAAATGTGGTGAAAAACATATATCATGTTGGTGACGCCGACGATGGTGGCGTACTTGCCGGCGGAAATATATATATATCTTCACATATATATATCGGGCTATCCTCCCGATATATATATATCGGGAGGATAGCCCGATATATATATGTTTATTATCCGATAGGATAATAAACAACAGAGGTCCCATGGCATAGCCCCGAGGCACTCCATTTACAATGGTTTCTCCCTCGAGCTTTACCCTATTCATGCTACCTTTCTGTTTCGTTTGAAGTCACAATGCTTTAATTCAGTTCAGGCTATCCTCCCGATACCACACACCACTATAACAGATCTAACGGGTCTTTCCTGAGACACGGTATCAAAGGCTTTGCAACAGCCATGGTTGTATAATGTCGTTATCGTCTGCATTAGTAACATAAAATATGTTGGGAAAGAATGAGAGCAGATTTGTTAAATGTGATCAGTCCTTAGCAAAATTATTTGTTGTTAATGTTTGATATGTGTTTTTCATGATATAAACAAATGGCTTTTGCGTTTATAGATTCAAGCTACTTTTCCAAACCACCGGTTACAACAACACAGGTGACATCTACACTGTTAAAAAATCTGAACCCTATAATTTGCTCTGAATTAAAAGTTGAAATACATATATAATACATGAGAGATAGATCTTACCTTTGAATAAATGTTGTGAAAAACATATATCATGTTGGTGATGCCGACGATGGTGGCGTACTTGCCGGCGGAAATGTCCCTCACTGACTGAGCCGGGTTGAGGTCCAAGATGACCCGTTGCTTCAGCTTGTAGAGCACGCTGCCCGGGGGAGCCGCCTGTCTCAGTCATTCACAATTGTCACAGTTAGTAACTTGCCTTTAATATGTTTACTAATCTAGCTTTACTAATCCGAACTAATTAAGCGAACCTAAGCTTAGCAGGTAACGTCCAGAAGTCTGCTAACCGTATTGGATGATCTATATAGGCATTCAAGGACAACCTTGCAGCTTTTTCTGGATGTTTTTAATATCTTATGCATCCTTAATTTTTTAAATTTGTTTATTTCATTGATGTAATTACATTTACAGCTTACAAAATTCATACATACATGGTAATTACTGTTCATAACAACTCTGTTCCAACTCTGTTTTAGAATCAACCCAAGCCAATGGGACGAACGGACTGCAGTAACTAGTGAACTACAGTTACCTGACCTTGTACACCTAGCACAGGTGATGCTACCGAAAATTTGAATAAACAAAGGGGAGGCACGCTCTATATACTTACAAATACCAATCATTATTTGTGGTTCTTATTTACCGACATAAGTTGGTGTAGTATCGATCCTTTTATTAACATCAATGGCACATTCGTCTTCAACATGTCCTCGACGCGTTTAAGAGGTAAATACGTCTTCACTACGACAATCATGGCATTCAGGTTGGCTCTATACACCGTACCAAGAACAAAGGACAGCAGCAGCCACAGCCCAGTCATAATGCGGGTAGAGTTCCTCTGGAACAACCATGCTGAAGCTGTTGTAGGAAATACTGTGGTTAGTCCCCTAAATATGCCTGAATCCATTAAAAAAAAAGTTAAATTCAGGTCTATAGGAGTAACTGTATATGTGAATGAGTGCGAAAACATACGTGAATTCAGAGACAATTCTATAATTCTATCCAGAGATATGCAAATATTTTATTCAAAATTATCTGCTACCAGAAATCTTAGCCAAATATTCCCAGTTTGTTAACTAGTTTGCTAACTATTTTGTAACTAGCTCATGAAGATTTAACTTGCTTAGCTAAATGAATTGTGGGGTTCAGTCCCTGAGCCCATTATGTGCCTCTGTAACCCTTTCCACTACCGCCCACAAGACGGGCATGGGGTGCATAGTGAATGAACTAAACTAAAAATACTAGTTGTAACTTTTGTATAACAAACTATAATTATATAACACCAATGATGAGGTAAAGAACATGATTAACCTCATAGTTTGCCATAGTTACATAGTAGAGGGCAGGAAACCATGTCTGTATTTTACATGAAGTGGTATAGTGCTATACCATATATGCTATATTATATATATTATTTTATAATCATTATAATTTATAATGATTATAATATTATAGTCTATATTATAATCATTTAAGTTGTCTCACATTTTAAGTGAAGTTACAAAACTCTATGTGGAATCCCACTTGCATATGTTGATTTATATAACGTATATTTACTTTATTTATAAATATGTTTTTATATATACTGTATACTCAATCTAGGTTTTCCTGTACTCGTTTGAGAGTTCTTACTAGACAGCAACATGTTATTCTTAGTCAATTCCTGGGAGTACATCTGAATGAAACTACCCATAGACCAAAAGTCCTGGCCATGATATAAAGTGAGCTGACAACCATAACAGAAAATACTCACACTAAGCGTAAACAGACCTCACACTAGTGGTGTGAAGCACTCACATTTAGGATGGAGAATACTCACGCTGACCAAGTGCGACACTTAGTACCCAATACCAGGTGAAGGAGAGTGAAGCCAGGAGGTGTCCACTGGCGTCCTCCTCCTCCTCCTCTTTTCCTCTGCCTCCCGACAGACTCCTCGCGCTCTCTCTGTCAAGTACATAATCAGAATTCATTAAAATAATGTTATGTAATTTCCAGTGTTGTAACTGTAATACGTCAAGGGTCCCTCTGGATCAACTGAGATGTACGTGGGACGACCAGTGGGGCGGACATTAGCCACTGACTCCCCGCAACAACCAGTGGGATACCAGTGGGATACAGTATCCCACTGGACACAGTATCTAAGAGTGGCGTTGGTTTGACGTTGAATCAGCGTTTATGATATTGGTTCGGTGTTGAATTGGTGTTCCTCTCAGATATTGTGCCACTGGGCGCCTAAGCTTTGATTTTCCGCTTGTTTGTTTAATTCTGCTTAGATGATTAGACGTTCAGAGTGTAATTCCTGGCGGTGTATTGATGTGGTGCACAGAGTTCACACTCACCTTAAGTACATCAATTTGCAGACATATTTACTTACGCACTGATACATTTATTGATGTCTTCTAAGTGTAATTCTAACACATTTCAATTAGCATGTATCACGTGGCACTCACCTACATGGAGGTGGCACTCACCTACGTGGGGGTGACACTCACCTACGTGGGGGTGACACTCACCTACGTGGGGGTGACACAATCCTGCTGTCAGCCCATTTGAGTACGAAGAGAGCGAGGACGGCCGCGATCATCGACAGCAAACACATTAACCAAATCTGCCAACAAAATTGTTTCTGATCACAATAATCACTTCACTTGGACATCCCTACTAGTCCAAAAGTATAGAAAACCTTTGTCACTGTTCAAAGTCATACTCAATATACATTAATAAACACGCGAAAGGAAATGAGTGTAAGAAGGCGCTAAGCCAGTACGGTTAGGTACCACATGGAAGGGATAGGAGCAAGAAACGAAACTCATCCGCTTGGACCATCGGGGATCGAACGCCGACCTGCAAGAAACGAGGCCGCCGTTGTACCGATCAGTCTAAGTGGCTGCCTGGGCCAGGATTCATCAAACATTTACGCAACATTTTACGATTCCTGGACGTCTTTCCTCAATCATGGCTACTTTGCTAATATTTATTAAGTAGCTTACGAGCTCCAAAGCACTTCAGGGTTGTTATAACAATAATAATCTTAGATTGTGGAGCTTCGAATTTCACAAACTGCTTAATAAATGTAAACACGGTCATCAGGATTAAAGAAAGATGCCCAGGTTTTTGTTCGTGCTTGATTAATCCTGGACATTCAACCGTGCCAAGTAGAATGTTGACCAAACCACACGCTAGAAGATGAAAAGACGACGATGTTTCGGTCCGTCCTGGACCATTATAAAGTCGATTGGGCCAGCACTGACAATCGACTTTATAGTGGTTCAGGACGGACCGAAACGACGTCGTCTTTTCATCTGGTCTGAGGTTTGGTCAACATTCTTCGGCCACATTATTGTGACTCATCATTTGCAAGCAGAAAACATTCGTACTCACGGTGTTGGAGAACGGCTTCACGAAGCCAGCGAGGTCTCCCTCCAGACCCGGGCGCCTGTAGACCAGACCCTGCCAGTCCATGTACATGGGCACACCGAAGTCAACGTACTGTGTCAGCATGGAGTTTGGAACGAATGGTACGCCAACCAGGTCATATTCCTGAGCAAACAAAAGAGTAAAACAATCTTTGGAGCAGGACAGAGCTCGAACCTGCATTCTGAGTCACCCCCAGACGCGCGACTTGACCAATGGACAAAGATACAATCGATTGTTAGTCGTGACATTATATAATTGGTTTTTAGACATTTTCAAATTTGTTAATCAGATGTGTTGGTCTTTTGAGTGACACGTGGGAACATGAGTTTACACACATGCTCACTCGCGTGTAAACAAGGATATACATGTACACATAAACAAGCATACACCAAGCCACAGGTACAAAAACTTTATCAAAGGAAGAATGAAAGGGAGCAGGAAAGACAGATAACTACCAGAGAACATCAGGATGCTCAAACAACCCCCAGAGAACATCAGGATGGTCAGAAAATCCCCCCCCCCCAGAGAACATCAGGATGCTCAAACAACCCCCAGTGAACATCAGAATGCTCAGACAACTCCCAGAGAACACCAAGATCCTCACACGACCCCGAAAGAACACCAAAATGATCCACCACTACCAGGACCTTTCATCGACCCCTTCCAAGACCTCTCCATTTATCCTTCTGTCACAACACATTCACCTTTGTCTCCCCCATTCACTTTGACCACATTGATCTTTAGAATGTACACGTCAACAAGACTCATCGCAGCCTCCAGCACGACTCACCCCGCGGGAGAGGGGACCCAAGGCGCCTAGCCACGTCCCGTTGGGGAGCCTGAACCCGGGAGTTGCAGACTCTGGAATAATCCATTCGTAGCTGTTGAAAATATTGACGAAAAAGAGTAGTTTAACATACTTATAATTATGAAAGGTTATCGTGTATATCTCCACTGTCAGAGGGATGACTGTCACTGTCAGGGGATGGCTCTATCTGTCAGGGAATGGCTCAAACTATAGGTTACTCTTAATTTCATGACAATCAGTGAAAACTTTACCATTATAACAGACACAGTGTACACTATATCAACATGACACAGACATAGTGTACACTATGCAAACATGACAGATATAGTGTCATATGCTGACAAACACTGACAAATATGATACTATATCATATTTGTCACGTATGTCATACTTGTCAAAAGATGCCGTATGTGACAAATACATCATATTTGTAAAAAAAAGTACACTATGTAAATACGACAGACATAGTGTACAGTATATAATCATGACACAGTGTACACTATACTATAATACCAAACACTGCACATTATATCATAACAAACACTGTACACTATACCATCATGGCAATCACTGTATACTATATCAGTGTTGTTCATGAGTAGTGATGTCTGTTCTCTTCCCCAATAGATGATTACAAAAGCAATGTTGCACACTCAGCATTGCATATTTCAATATATAAAAAACTGTTATAATCTACATTGCATTAAGAGATTTATTGAAACTCACCACAAGTTGAGTTTGGCTGTTATTATATCCATGACTTCAATGATGGAGCCTTGCACACTCCTGTGATGCGAATTGGTCACAACTTCCAGGAAAGGATAGTACTGTAGAGGAAGTATTTACCATATAAGTTAAGGTAATCGTCAGGAGACATCACTAATCTAACATGACTACAGAGTGCTTGGAAGCTAAATCACTTGGACCATTGGGGATCGAACGCAGACCCTGCAAGATACAAAGGTCTACGCTCTATCGAGAAGGCCAAGTGGTTGTGTTCATTAAAAGTCAAAGAACGCATTTCAAACAGTTTTTCAGAAAAAAGTACATTGCTGTTGTGGGGGAATATACCGGGACTGGATGCATGAGGAGAGCTACACAGGAACAAATATGTGGTTCTTAGAACCATGAATTTAAAATTAAATAATATTCAGTAACTGTTGATAAAGTACAAAACTAAAAGCTCTTAGCAGGATGCAAGGTTCCTATGCTGGATTGTAAGTACACTCCTCTGAGACCTTGATAATGGAAATGGGATGTAGCAGGTAGGGTCCTGAAGGCTGATCTGGCTCATAAACTGCAGAACACAATTTACCTGCGGGTACACCCACACATTTGACTTGCAAAAGTAAACAATGATATGATAAAACAGCTCTATGACTATAAGCACTGGTAAGGTTCATGATCTAGGACCTGAACTAAATACACACTCTCTAGCCTAGCCCTAGGAATATCTGTGCTGTTGCACAAAAGGTATAATTACACAAGGTAAATGTAAATTTGCATACAAAAATTATATTCAATAAAATAAACTAACTGTTAATTATGCTATATGGATATGGCAATTCTGATTGTATGAATACTCAGCAATCTAAGCTCAGTTACTGCACAAGTTGGTCAGAACTTACTGATGATGAGGCGTAGCCTCGCTGCCTAACAACTCTCAATTTATATGGAAGTATTAATGTAACAAAGCATACTAATTGGCCAATCTACGCTCTAAAACAATTAATAACTTATCCTGAATTGAGAACCGGAGCCTATTTGGCAGAAGTCAGATGATGTCTTTCTTGCCGACACCAAGCTCGATATTTTAATGATGAAATGGCAGCTTGATGATGTTGATTTGATGTCACAGAGTTGCTGTGAATGTGTCTAGTTGCTTGCTCAGATATGAAGTACACGTTGTTGCGTCTTGGTAGATGAGGTGGTGATGGGGTCTCCCAAGCCAGTGGTCCTCCGCACTCTTAATTTTGGATATATATGTACCAGGAATTCCTCCCTTTTTATAGTTCAGACACTCCTAGTATTTAGCGAGCTATCACTAAAGATTCTGATAAGTTTGTGTGTAAAATCTCGCCGAAAAAGGAGTCTCCAGCCCTACACACGAGTACACTCCTGGATGTAAACACGAGGCCGCCACTTCTGCCCCACCGGCGTCTGTCAAGGTGCCGGCAATGTGTATACAATGATTATTTTCTTTATTTTGACTGATTGTTGTGATAAATTTATATTACAAGATAATTGCTTTGTGGATTTAAAGATTATTGGCAGTACTTGATTCTACCTTTTCTCCTTTATTAAGGATTTTAAAATTACATCACTGGAAGCTATATCTTTGGTTCCAGCAATATTTTTGATTACCCCAAGCCATATTATATAAGCATTAAGCCCAATAGTGTACTTGAGCTATGGTCATGCAGGATGCTGATATAGATACAGTAGATATGATCAATAGATAATGATTCTGATATATAAACATGATATGGAATAATACGTTCCTTAGATAATAATAATAATATTAACGAGTGGAATTTTCCACAGCTGTATCACATCACTTTGTACGAAAAGTCATGGATTCTCTCGATTGCATATAAAAAAGCTACAAATGTATTTTATTTTAATGTTAATGTTTCTTAATAATGATGAATAACATTCGTAAAGCGAGTAACAGAAACCAAATGTATGTATAATGCTAGGCACCTGTTCAGTAGCCTAACGTATTGTTCTGATGTTAATCAGAGATAATATTCATGATATAGTATCGTAATCAGCGGTAACATTCATGGATGGCTTTGATGTTAATCATCAATACTGCTCATTTCCATCTCTGATATTTATCGCGGTAATATTTCGAGGTACTACGATTAACAACTACAGAATCTTCCACAATACAAATGTTTCTTGGATTTGTGCTTACTCAAGGATATTTTAACGCTTTGTTTTATAGGAGTGAATCTGTACGATACTGTTATGGCGTTGACCAGGGCAGAGTAAGCATGAATAATGTTTTGGGTATGGTAATGAGTTAAGGCCTGTCAACCTCTGGAGGATTAAGGCCACCATATGACCAACCAGCATATTTTTAGTCCTGAACATTGTCCACGACTACAGAAACTCTTATGAGTATTTACACCGAGAAATGGGCATTGGTGGTGTTCTCGCCGGGAGATTACTGGGACTGAAGTGGATGTGACATACCTTTCATAAACGTTTCTTTGTTTGACCGGAGCTGTTTGTCGGATATTACGTAAGGGCTTCGGGCTTTTAGATCAGAATAACAATTCTTCACCTTACTTCTTCGGAGTGTGGTCACACTATTCTATCAAGATCCGTCTCAGACACACCACTAAGTTTGGAAATACGATTATCTTCCCTTCCTCGGCCGTCCTTAAACAATATAATCCCTTAGACTCTACCTTCGATTACTGGCTTCAACAAACTGTGACTTTGTTTTTACTTTAAGCCGTACATACATGCTACATAAGCTATATCACGACAGAGACATAGGCTGGGCAAATAGGCTACCTTACTGCTCCCTCTCCGTCGAGTGACATGACTTTGGGTCGCGTTCTGTTTGGTAGGCAATGCCAAGTCAAGTCCCACGGCAGCCGCCGGGTTAACCAAAGCTCTAACTTTAAAACAGTAGATGATGGAAAGGGAACTGTAGACCGGCTACACAGTCAGTGTACCAATATATACGAGCAACACTTACCCTGATGACACCCACTTTAAGGCAGGAGGAGGTAGTGTTGGTGGCGGGAGACATGTTTCGTCCTCAGCACCGCCACTACTGCGCCTGCAGCCTCTCCTCCCATACTATTTAACACTGCCGCATTTGTTAATTAATTGACCATAAATTTAAGATTATCAAGTTTGATTTACTTTGCTCAGAAACCAGTTTTAATTAGTTGACTACCACCGAAGTCATTAATTAATCTATATTGATTAATTATCAGTAACTTCCGTGGTTTTTTTATGTAAAACATTTTAATATGTAGTAAAGTTGATTTTGGTGGATTATGGGCATCACACTGGTATGTTTTGAGTCAAAGTATGCTTTACTCTACAAAGTTGTAGTCAAAATGTTTCGACTACATTTTGAGTGTGTGATGAGGGCATGGCCCCGTAGCCTAGCATGGAATTGACTTTATTGTCCTAAAATTTGTTTTATGGGTGTCCTGTTAGTCCATACTTCTGAATAGTTGTGGATCAATACCTATTCTTCTTTATTTATTACCGAGATGCGGGACAGAAGACAAGCGCTCTGCGTGATTGTTTACAGTGGCCAAGTAAACAATGTCAGTGTGCGTGGATCAGAGAGCAAACACTGCTCCCTCGCCCAGTTAATGTGATGAGTGGCGGCTTGTTCCCGGGAGCATGTGGTTTTATTGTTATGGTTCTTGTGATGTTGTTTATGGTCATGTTATTCTTGTGATTTTATTATTATTGCGTTGATGTGTTTTGCTGTCGTGTTGTTGTTTTGGTGGTTGTTCTTGTTTTATTGTTTTATTATTATTGTTGTGGTGGTACTTACCTAACAGTGACAACCTCTCACTGACTACAGGGAAGTGAGGTCAACTCTTTTTGCCAGACTTATACTAACCTTGCTGTACCCGTTGCGCCATAATTTAACAAAAGGCTGTATATATTGCCTTGAAAGAGCCCTGATTTTGGTTTTAGAACGATTTTCTAATGTCTGTCAGCGTCCAATGTGTTGCCGATGTCACCTCTGTGTGCCTCTGGTGTTAGTGTTGAAATTATATCTACTCGCAAATAATTTTCTCTTTGCTGTAGTTTCCTTCCCCATATGGTGTAGATATCTCCTGGTCTCCTTTCTCCCGTTTCCTTCTCCATTGCCTTACACTTGTTGGGGTTGAATTCTAGGAGTCATTTGTTTGTCCAAACCTGAAGTTTATCAAGATTTAAGGCACTACGGGCTCACTATAGCCCGTGCTACTTGGAACTTTGTTCCAGGTAGCGAATCTTTAACAACAACAACATATCAAGATCATCCTTGAGCTTTCTGCAGTCCTCCTAAATCTTTATATTTCTCATTAGTTTGTCTGCTGCGTCGACCAGTTTTGCTCTCCGCGTCTAGTATTGCTGGGATGGTGTTACTAGTGGAGTGGGGGTGTTACTACTGGAGCGGTGTTGTGATAGTGGAGTGATGTTGTGATTGGGTTGTCTGGATGTTATGACCAGGGCGAGTGAGGGCATAGTGTTGCATCACCACGGCAGGACCAAGCTGTGCGTGTATTCACCTAGTTGTGCTTGCGCAAGTTGAACTTCGGCTCTTTGGTCCCGCCTCTCAACAGTCAATCCACTGATCTACAGGTTCCTGAGCCTATTTGGCTCTATCATATCTACTTTTGAAACTGTGTATGGAGTCTGCCTCCACCACATCACTGCCTAGTGCATTTCATTGTATGTACGTGTGCGTGCGTGCATGCATGCGCCTTAGTAGTGACTGTATATAATATTGTTATTAAAAATTGAATTTTGAATTTTAAATTAAAAAATTAATTTTGGAGAATTGTTATTTTTATTACCACCGACAGTGAAGAAAAACAAAAAATATTGAGCAGATTCGTGTTAGAATTATTAATCTTACCTTTTCGGTCATATTCAACAACATATGTTTACACGAAAGACTGCTACCAAAATATACTAATATTGTTATTAATATACATATTATTTTTTCATATTCTTTAGGCTTCATAATGGACGGGAAATTTATATTGTTTAATGATTTGTATAAGTACTTTTGCGCTTTTTCTATCCATAAAGTAATTGCAGATTGAAATCATCAGTGAGGTGTTGAAAATTATTTATAATTTATCGTTATGTAATGAATCTATTGTTTGTTGAAAATTATAAATGATTTTTAGTTATGTAAATTTGGTGAGGTGAGAGGGGGGGGGCGTGGAGGGAGCCAGGTATATATAGGGCGCGAGGCACCAGAGAGCCACACATGCCCGCTAAACATGGCGCCCGTCAGTTCTTCATCCCTGCGGATTCTGCTCCCAGTTATCCTGCTTCTTTTACAAGGTGAGTTGGACCGCTGTGACCCCTTGTGTGTGCGTAGGTATACGTTGTAAACGATGTCTGTGATTAATGGTTTATGTTTGGCGCAAGCTTGGCACAGTGTCATATGGTATCCTTTTCTTTGTCGTCTATCCTGACACTCCCATGTTGGACGTGGACCCTCCAGCAATTACTGGGAAAATTTGGGAAAGTTATAGGACCAAGAGTGTGGCCTACAAACTCGGACAGACAGAAAGAATATAAATAAATAATAGTGTACCCTGTAGATGATGCTATGCATAATATGAAGCGTCACTCATAAATTAACATTTTCTTTGTTTCCAGGAGTTGTGACTGACGGAAGGGAGATTGAGGAGGAGAACGGGAGTGCGCCTGGTAGGGCTTCCAGTAACGCTCCATCAGGATTACACCACGCTGAAAATGTTTCACACCCACACCCGAGAAGGCGTGGGAACGTGACTGGTTGGGCTTCCAGTAGCGGATCAAGATCACCCCGTCCAGGTAATTCTTCAGACCCACACCCGAGAAGGCATGGGAACTCGACTGGTTTGGCTTCCAGTAACGAACCATCAAGACCACATCACCCGGGTAATTCTTCAGACCCACACCATGGGAACGCGCCTGATTTTGCTTCCAGTAGTGGACCATCAAGACCAAATCATCCGGGTAATTCTTCAGACCCACACCATGGGAACTTGCCTGATTGGGCTTCCAGTAACGGACCATCAAGACCACACCACCCGGGTAATTCTTCAGACCCACACCAGGGAAGGCGTGGGAAAGCGTTTGATTTTGCTTCCAGTAGTGGACCATCAAGACCACACCGCCCGGGTAGTTCTTCAGATCCACACCATGGGAATGCTCCTAGTTGGGCTTCCAGTGACAGACCAAGACCACACCACCCGGGTAACTCTTCAGACCCACACCATGGGAACGCTCCTAGTTGGGCTTCCAGTCACGGACCATCAAGACCACACCGCCCGGGTAGTTCTTCAGACCCACACCAGGGAAGGCGTGGAAACGCGCCTAGATGAGCTTCCAATTAGTTCACCACCAAGATCACAAACCTCTGACGATTCTTTTCTACACTTTCCAAGACACTAATAAAGCACATAATAAACGAATGATGTTCATTCTAAAACTAAAGAAAAAAATTGTTCTGCAATATCTAAATAACCCATCACAATTATGTATGAAGTATAGCTTGTAATGTTAAATGAAATTAAATTTTTGCAAATGATAATAACTTGTGTATAAAATTTGTGTGGATCCCATCCCATGTTGGAGTTGGAAAGCACGACTTTGTAGATCGACTGGCCTATGAGGCTTGCAGGAAAGAGAAAACAGATTATGACTGGATTATATAATGTAATTATTAAAATTATGCAAATTAAAAAAATTACTTCAGATTTAAAAGAACTAAGGAATGATCAAAGACCTGAACGCTGCAGTATTGAAAGCTATGACAACTTGTAATACAGTAATAGATATTTGTATGGTCAGCACAGTGATCAGACCAGACAATTTGACGTAGTAACTGAGCGAGTTCGCCTTGGCTATAGGCACATTCTGGCAGGTTAGTGAGGCTGAACCATTACTGGAAAAATTACCTTTAAGGCATTCACTTGAACATTATATTATTGAATGTGAACCCCTAAAAGATTTTAGACCTTGCTTATTGTACAACCGTATAACTATTTCATTAAATCGTTGTGCACTGGAAAACATCCTAACAATTCATCCTAAATTATAATTTATATTAATAAAAGGGTAAACAATTTGTAGTTTGTCCTGTATCCTCTTCAAGGTAGTATATGCTACAAATTGACCCCCGCCCCGCCTCATTGCGAGTAGATAGATTGTGGCAGGCAGAAACAATTTATAGTCCACATAGCATAATAATAATATAATATTCAAGTAACAAAAAAATGAAGAAAAAGAAATAATTGCCTGCTAGGATTTTCCCACAAAATTAGCCACAATACGTTAGAAAGAACGTTGCCAGTGTCAAGGGTAGTTAACAGACAGAATACATTAGGCAGTGAAGTGGTGGAGGCAGACTCCATACAGTTTTGGATGTAGATATGATAGATCCCAGTAGGCTCAGGAATCTGTACACCAATTGAAAGGCGGAACCAGAGAGCCAAAGCTCAACCCCCGCAAGCACAACTAGGTGAGTATATATGTTCTTCACAGTACAGTTAAACCTATTGTCTTGTGTATGATCCCCTGTCCTTTGTGACAGTTAATACGAGCATCACCCTCACTCAAAATTGTAAAGACCTAATTGAATTACTCAGATTATGGAAAATTTTAATTAATTTGGTCAATAAAGAGGTTAATAATAATAAATCTAGTCGGCATCAAGAAGAGGAGACTAACACAAGTCCCGTGAGCGTACCAGTCCTTCACATGCACTCTCCTGCTACCCGGTAAAAGTACAGTATATTGCGCCTTACAGCAACTGGCACTGATTCCCAATAATAAAAAGGTCTCCACATATTAAGAAAATATTTCCATTACCCCAAAAAAATACTTTACATGCAAAGAATGCCTCCTTCCACCCAGGAAATGTAACTTAATACCGAGAAAATCTCGGTCACCCCCAAGAAATAAACATCACCCACTAAATGTTCCAGTCAACCAGAAAATGGAATTTTCCATCGATCAAATGTCACTAGCTCCCCAAGCTAATTCCACCATTCACTGCCCAGTAAAGGATGTCACTTTCTGCCCCAAGAAAGTCTCACGATTGAGCAAACGACACTAATTTCTACCCAGTACAGCATAAAAATTTCCGCCCCGAAAATGTCATTAACCCCGGAGCGAAGAACAATCCTCCCCGCCCACCTTCAGCAAGCAAAGCCACCTTCACACCGTAAAAATGCATATACCCATCGTAAAAACTTGATTTTACCACAAAAAATGCAACTTTACTCCAACAAAATGTCACTTTTCCCCAATCAGACCATCGCAAGTCAGATAAGCTAGGCTACGACAACTTATATTTCCGATAACTGCTTCATTTTGAGTGAACACGAGGTGAAGTGTTACTACTATAGTTATTAATATACATAATAATCTTTCATATTTTTTTGACCTTATAATAGTTGGGAAATGTATATTGTTTAAGTTTTTTTTAAGTACTTTTGGCTTTTTCTTTCCAAAGATAATTTAATTGATTGAAATCATATATGAATCTACTGTTTCTTGAAAATTATCAATAATTTATGGTTATGTAAATTTGGTGAGGTGAGTAGTGGAGGTGAGAGGGGGGGGGGCGTGGAGGGAGCCGGGTATATATAGGGCGCGAGGCACCAGAGAGCCACACATGCCTGCTAAACATGGCGCCCGTCAGTTCTTCATCCCTGCGGATTCTGCTCCCAGTTATCCTGCTTCTTTTACAAGGTGAGTTGGACCGCTGCGGCCCCTTGTGTGTGCGTAGGTATACGTTGTAAACGATGTCTGTGATTAATGGTTTATGTTTGGAGCAAGCTTGGCACAGTGTCATATGGTATCCTTTTCTTTGTCGTCTATCCTGACGCTCCCATGTTGGACGTGGACCCTCCATCAATTACTGGGAAAGTTATAGGCCCACGCGTGTGGCCTACAAACTCGAGCAGACAGAAAGATATTAATTTCCATTATCATAGATATATATAAATAAATAATAGTGTACCCTGCAGATGATACTACGCATAATATGAAGCGTCACTCATAAATTAACGTTTTCCTTCTTTCAGGAGTTGTGACTAACGGAAGGGAGATTGAGAAGGAGAACGGGAGTGCGCCTGGTTGGGCTTCCAGTCACGGACCATCAAGACCACACCACCCGGGTAACTCTTCAGACCCACACCATGGGAACGCCCCTAGTTGGGCTTCCAGTCACGGACCATCAAGACCACACCACCCGGGTAACTCTTCAGACCCACACCATGGGAACGCCCCTAGTTGGGCTTCCAGTCACGGACCATCAAGACCACACCACCCGGGTAACTCTTCAGACCCACACCATGGGAACGCTCCAAGTTGGGCTTCCAGTCACGGACCATCAAGACCACACCACCCGGGTAACTCTTCAGACCCACACCATGGGAACGCTCCTAGTTGGGCTTCCAGTCACGGACCATCAAGACCACACCATCCAGGTAATTCTTCAGACCCACACCATGGAAACGCGCCTAGTTGGGCTTCCAGTGACAGACCATCAAGACCACACCACCCGGGCAATTCTTCAGACACACGCCATGGGAACGCTCCAAGTTTGGCTTCCAGTCACGGACCATCAAGACCACACCACCCGGGTAGTTTTTCAGACCCACACCAGGGAAGGCGTGGAAACGCGCCTAATTGGGCTTCCAATTATTACATCATCAAGATCACAAACCTCTGACGATTCTTCAGACCAACACCCGGGAATTCGTGGGAATGCAACTGTTTGGGCTTCCAGTAGCAGACCATCAAGAACACTAAAATCAGACCATTCGGACCAATCGAATTCGTTCGTTTTCAAAATTTCAAAGTTGATTGACAAAATTTCTACATTTACCAAGACACTAATAGAACACGTAAGTTTTAGAATGATGCTCATTCTAAAACTAAGGAAGAAAAGTGTTCTGCAGTATCTAAATAACCCATCACAATTATGTATGAAGTATAGCTTGTAATATTAAATGCAATTAAATTTTTGCCATTGATAATAACTTTTGTATAAAATTTGTGTGGATCCCATCCCATGTTGGAGTTGGAAAGTACGACTTTGTAGATCGACTGGCCAATGGGGCTTGCAGGAAAGAGAAAACAGATTATGATTGGACTATATAATGTAATTATTAAAATCATGCAAATTAAAGAAATTACTTCAGATTTAAATGAACTAAGAAATGCCCAAAGACCTGAACGCTGCAGTATTAATAACTATGACAACTTTTGTAATAGGTATTTGTATGGTCAGCACAGTAATCAGACCAGACACTTTGATGTAGTCACTGAGCGAGTTCGCCTTGGCTATAGGCACAGTCTGGCAGGTTAGTGAGAATGAACCACTACCAGAAAATTAACCTTTAAGGCATTCACTTGAACATTATATTATTGAATGTGAAACAGTAAGAGATTTTTTAGACCTTGCCTATTGTACCACCAACTGTGTAACTATTTCATTAAATCGTTGTCTACTGGACAATCCTCTACACTGGATGACTTTTTGCGTTCTAGTTGGGGGCAAAGTTATGGTTTTGCTACCTGGTGTTCTCTGTGTGGGGCGGGGCCGGTGCTTGTCACCCTGAGGGACTCCTGGGACTCTCCAATCATCTGCCTGACTGTGCGTTTATTTGCCATATGGCATATTAGTTTCTAGTGATTGGCGTCACTCGTTTCCCGTTTTGGCTTGGTGTTTCACCTTTCCTGGCTTCGTGATTCACCCTTAACGGGTCCGCCGGGGCGCATCAGATCCCGCCATCGTCGTCTTCCCGAAATCAACAACAACAACAACTTCCATCAGCCCTCGCCAGCGTCACGCGGGAAATTTTATTTCTTTAGTTTAATCACTGATTATTCACCAATATCTTTGTTGGTTTTAATAAATTCCGTAGCATTAACTAAGGCAATTTTGGTAAATTATAACTAATTTTATGAGAAATGAGTCACAACGTTAATACATTGGAAGCTGGAACTCGTCAGGGAGACGTCCATGAGACGCCCATAAAATGCAGTCCACTCTGGGAAACTTTAGTAATATATTTATTTAGATGAGGCTGTGGATTATTTTCCACAGTAAACTTACCCATGACGAAGTGTTTCTTGAAGTTATTTAGTGCTTTGACTTGGAAAAAGGAGCTATTTAGCTAACAAGTTTTCCTTTAAATTGGACAGGTAGCCAAGGGGGATGAGCCCCGTGGGGACCCGGGGCCCCAGCCTCAGGCCGCCAACATGGCCGTCCTCAGCTGGAACGATGAATTATCTGAGGTTGCTCAGGTGAGTGGTGCTGTGTTCTCCTTCACCGCGATCACGGCGGCTTAGTCTGCATTTAGTACAAATTATGAGCTCTGAGGCGCAACGAGTACCTAAACTATTTAGTGAATAATATGTAATGGGTACAGATCCCGCAAGTGAACACGCATATAAGAGCGTAACGAAGCCTGATGATCACTCACACAAACTATTTCCGTGACTGACAAGAATGATATGTTAATACGACAGGTTCTTGACGTTGGGAGGACGGGCTGAGTGGAGGCGAGATTCACATATAATGCAAGAAGACTCATGGTAACAGGTAGTCAGTGAACGTATTGAAACAGCGTGATATTTTACCATAGAGTTTTAGACAGCAAAATAGAAACAAACTATTGTGTTCCCTCACTAATCAGTGCATTGAATGATAAATGGTTGATTAAAAGGTCTACAATTTTTATAATCAGATTGACCATACATTTCAAGTATACTCTCCGTCACTCATCTTCCTCTCTATCATTCAAGTATCATACACACCCGTCACTAACAAAGGTAGTGAGAATCTTGCTCTACTTAAAGCTGGCAAACTTTAAACAATTGCTTCCTCTATAAAAACCTAAGATCTCACGAGCACTGTGAGCCGTCTACACTGACGGCTCAGTCGAGTCGTAGACAGGACGCACTACAGCGTCTGTAGCTGACGAGTGTATGGGGAGTTGTGGGTAACCCCCACATACACAAACACACACTGCTGAAGGTAGCCCATACACACTAGTATAGGTAACCCATATACACTCCAATGATTTTCCCTTTGAAGTGTTGCTTGGCTTGCTTTCACGTGTTGTGTTGCTTGGCTGAAATAGTCTATACATAGCACTACTCGAGCTTCAACATTGTAAGGTCGCGCCTTATAACACAACTGAACACGCGTAGCGCAGTCCACTCGCAACTGAACAGATCCAAGTTTCTATTAATCGCACAAGAAGAGACGTTTGGGCAACATTTCCTTACACCTGGTGCTTCTGTTTACTAAGCAATAAATACGGAGGTAGGTAACTGATGTGGGTTGCAACTTGGAGAAGGTCAGACGTTGGTCTAGTGGGGGGGGGGGGATCTCGATAAGCCTAGCAGGCTTTCTGTTCCTGAAAATGGGACCCCATATATCACCTTCCACCACCTAATTTTACCTATTAGGTTCTAGTATCAAGTAACATCAATCTAAGAGATAGCTGGAAATAGTTTGGTGTTAGGCTTAAGGCCTATCTACTACGAGAGGGTTATTAAGGCCACAACAAAAACTTTCTGGCCAACTAGCAGATATGCTTTATTACTTTAGTCCTGAAATTGTCTTGGACTAAACTAAATTCTCAGTGTACATAAACCGACAAGCAGGGTATTCCTTTTGGCATATTCGTGTGTGTGCGTGCGTGCGTGCGTTTAGAACGTACACTCACATTACTGTGAGGTCAAGGATTACGACCATGGACGATCAGAATGTTACCTGCAGATTCGTGACGGAAAATCAGAAAAATATTTAACTGTACTTATTCAAATGTCTGTGTTTAATTAACCTTCTATTTTATTAAAAGGTTAGAAGAGAGTTCGTCAGGAAATGGTATTTGATAGCATTAAAAAGTGTAATTAAAGTGTTGGTGAGAATTGTATATATCAATTTGTATAAAATGGGATGTCTGTCTGTTTATTTTTTTTTATCTTTATTTAAAAAAATACAATATAAGTTACATATACATAAGTGTTACAAGGCAATTATACATTACAATTCTTAGTGAACAAGTGTTTCAGTAGTACAGAACTGTCTGTTTATGGCTAGATGCCAAAGGCTAGGCTGGGGATATTGACCATACAAGCGAAGTTACTTCGATACTCATCAACCGATCTCACATACACGCCTACAGTTGGAAGGAGGTTTACACTGTACACATCCACTGGCCAACACTGTACACATCCACTGGGCTACAGTGTACATAATGGAAGTTGACATAAGGCATAAGAGTGTTGATCTTGTGTGAACATGTTGGCGGTTTCTCATCACTGACGCAGCACACCCTTCGTGTGACCTCACCACATCTGTGTTGTAACAACAGTGATTGCTTCCTCCCTTCTTGGAATTGTCTCATACTTGGTTGAAAGAGAATTTACGTTATTATTCAAATGAAAATGTTGTATTTAAGTAAATAAAAAATCAAAACCTATAAAAGGTAATGTATAGGTCTGTCCAAGGTTAGAGGCCAGAGGCTTCTAGCTAACCTAAGTTAACTTTGCAGGGTGACTGGTGAGGGAGGAGGCAGGTGGTCACCAACACTGGTGGTTGGGGTTGGCCCCCATTACTCTCATTAAAAGGTGGTCGGCTTCCATGGCGACACCCATGAAATCAGTGGATAAAAATAAGGTGGTTAATCGAGTTCATAGAATTTCATAATTTCAAATCACCTTGGAATATATTTTATACATATACTACGGGGACGGTTACCCGGCGTTGCCAGACTGTCTGTCTTCCCTTTCTCTGCGGGCTGTGCAGTTGCGGTCTGAGGTTAAAGGCTCAGATGGTCCAAAGCGAATGTCTTAGGCATTAAGTAATTTTTTCTTCAGAAGTTGCATTTGCTTCTCCATGTTTCTCTTCGTGTCAATCCATACTTCTACATATTTGTAGGCAAGTTCTAGATTTATCACTGAGAACACTGACAGCTGTTTAAGCTTCCCTTCTGCCAACCAAGTGACTTTGTAATCTAAAAGTTAATGAGTCGAAAGTTGTTGCTGCTGGAGTGGATTGTTGATTTACAGATCAATCGGGGTAGTAACCGCTGATGAGGTGTGTGTGTTGTGGGTCACTGAGACCGGACCTTAAGCTTTAAAGGGCTGTAGGAGATACACTAATTACTTCCATGGTGTTGGTGGGTTGAGTCGCAGCTAAGCGGTCGGGGTCGTCCACGGTGGTGACGGCCTGTAGCCTGATGAGCAAAAATCACATCCCTTCTCTAGGATATTGCACTCCCTCATAGTTTTAGTTTTCATGATAAAGAGCGGTGATCCTCGTTTTATATTCTCAAAGGCTTACGTCTACTGACTCTTGCGAGACACTTCAGAACAGCTGCAAGCAGTATCGGTTTTGAAGAACTTGACTGATAGCAATGCTATTATTCGTTGAATCGTGGTTTCAAGTGGTTCAATATTTCTTCTGAGGCATAGATTTTCGTCCATTTTGATGATTCTGTGATACTCCTCGTGGCTTTATTTTCTACACACAGAAATCACAATAACGTGATGCATCAAATGATGTGGATTTGTTTATTTTCTAGTTTCAAATGTTTTGATTCTACATTTTGAGTGTGTGATGAGGGCATGGCCGCGTAGCCTAGCACGGAGCTGACTTTATTGTCTTAAAACTTGTTCTATGGGTGTCCTGTTAGTCCATACTTCTGAATAGTTGTGGGTCAATATCTATTCTTCTTTATTTATTACCGAGATGCGGGACAGAAGACAAGCGCTCTGCGTGATTGTTTACAGTGGCCAGGTAAACAATGTCAGTGTGCGTGGATCAGAGAGCAAACACTGCTCCCTCGCCCAGTTACTGTGATGAGTGGCGGCTTGTTCCCGGGAGCATGTGGTTTTGTTGTTATGGTTCTTGTGGTGTTGTTTATGGTGGGGGTGGAGGGAGCCGGGTATATATAGGGCGCGAGGCACCAGAGAGCCACACATGCCCGCTAAACATGGCGCCCGTCAGTTCTTCATCCCTGCGGATTCTGCTCCCAGTTATCCTGCTTCTTTTACAAGGTGAGTTGGACCGCTGTGGCCCCTTGTGTGTGTGCGTAGGTATACGTATACGTTGTAAACGATGTCTGTGATTAATGGTTTATGTTTGGAGCAAGCTTGGCACAGTGTCATATGGTATCCTTTTCTTTGTCGTCTATCCCGACACTCCCATGTTGGACGTGGACCCTCCAGCAATTACTAGGAAATTTTTGTCAAATTATAGGCCCACGCGTGTGGCCTATAAACTCAGACAGACAGAAAGATATTTATTTCCATTATCATAGATATATATAAATAAATAATAATGTGCCTCGCAGATGATGCTACGTATAATATGATGCATCACTCATAAAATAACAATTTCTTTGTTTCCAGGAGTTGTGACTGACGGAAGGGAGATTGAGAAGGAGAACGGGAGTGCGCCTGGTTGGGCTTCCAGTAACGGACCATCAAGACCACACCACCCGGGTAGTTCTTCAGACCCACACCATGGGAACGCGCCTGGTTGGGCTTCCAATAACGAACCATCAAGACCACACCACCCGGGTAATTCTTCAGACCCACACCATGGGAACGAGCCTGGTTGGGCTTCCAGTAACGGACCATCAAGGCCACACCACCCGGGTTATTCTTCAGACCCACACCAGGGAAGTCGTGAGAATGCGCCCGGTTCGTCGTCCAATACCAGACGACTAAGATCACTAACATATGAGATTTTCTCAGACCCATACCCGGAAAGCCCTGAGGAAGCACCTTTTTGGGCTTCCAGTAGTGGACCATCAACATCACATCACCGTAACAGTTCTTCAGCCGCACACACTGGAAGTCAGGGGTTTTTAAAGCAATTGACCCTGAACTATGAGACCAGATCGTTGAAGTCAGACCATTGGGACCAATCGGAGCCGTTGGTCTTCAAAATTTCACACAGATTGATACACAGACTGAGTGCCATTACAGACACACTAATCTGCCACATATTACACGGGATGCATGATAGTCATTCCAAAACTAAGGAACACAGCCGGTCGACGCAAAGAGGAGCAGGAGCACATCACGAGTCTCGAGAACATACCAGTCATTCACATACTCTCTCCTGCTACCCGGCAAAGTACAGCATATTGCGCCTCCCGGCAACTGATTCACATCATGAAAGAGGTCAACACCACTCAGGAAAACATGACCATGCTCACTCAAGAAATGCTTCTTCACATGCAAAGAATGCCTCATTCCATGCAGAAAATCCCAGTCACCCCCGAGAATATCAAAGCACACTCCGCCCAGTAAATGTTCCACTCCAACCAGAAAATAAAATTTCCCATCAATCAAATGTTACTAACCACCAAGCAAATTCCACCATTCGCCATCCAGTAAAGGCCCTTGTTCACACAAAAGAGGTCACTTTACACCGATCAAATGCCACTATCCGCCTCCAGAAAGCCTCTCATAGTCGAGAAAACGATACTAATCCCCACCCAGTAAAGCATATAAATGTCCACCCCGAAAATGCCACTTACCCCGCAGCAAACAACACCACCCCCCACCCAGCAAGTCCCCACCGGGAAAATACAACCACCCATCGTAAAAACTTGATTTTACCAGTAAGAAATGCAACTTTCCACGGACAGAATTTCACTTTTCCCCAGTCAAAAGTCAGCAACAAGCGGGGCAACGACACCTTCCTGGTGAGAGGACCACCTTCTGGCGATGGAGGAGATGCACCGCTCTGTGACTATTCCAAGTTCCACTCCTCTCACAGCATGGTACTCGAACCCAACCCCGAGTGTGAGCCCAGCAGGGCGTATATTTCTGAAAAGGAGAAGAATTGGATCCTATCGCTCCACAACACCCTCAGGGCCAAGGTTAGTTCTTTATTAATAAAGTATTTACAAATATCAGCAGTCTAGAGTGCTTCTCCAAGAACACTTTCACTGAATAAATACTAAATATAAATGGAAGTTTCTTAACTCATAATTTCGATACTGAAGTAGAATTTAGAGCCTTGCGGTACTGTCGTCTGGCAGTGTGTTGGATTATATGTGTGCTACAGATCGTGCGTTCTTAATTAATGATTAATATATTAATCATGTCTAGTACAACTTTTCCTTTACATGGGACAGGTAGCCAAGGGGGATGAGCCCCGTGGGGACCCGGGGCCCCAGCCTCAGGCCGCCAACATGGCCGTCCTCAGCTGGAACGATGAATTATCTGAGGTTGCTCAGGTGAGTGGTGCTGTGTTCTCCTTCACCGCGATCACGGCGGCTTAGTCTGCATTTAGTACAGTTTATGAGCGCTACGAGTTAATAATAATAATAATAATAATAATAATAATAATAATAATAATAATAATAATAATAATAATAATAATAATAATAATAATAATTGATTCAGGAAAAGTACATACATAGATGCAGAGTTACAAACATACTGTTGGATTTATAGATAGAGCTAGTACATACAATACCTAAAGCCACTTATACGCATGGCGTTTCGAGCAATGTTCGGGCATTGTTCCTAAACTATTTAGTAAATATATGTAATGGGTACAGATCCCGCAAGTGAACACGCATATCAGAGCGTAACGAAGCCTGATGATCACTCACACAAACTATTTCCGTGACTGACAAGAATGATATGTGTATGTACGTCGATTGTAATGTTTATAGCTGGTCAGAAGTGTCGTTTATAAACCCATACACTTCTCAGTGTGATAATCTTCGCCATCATTGTCTCGTCAGAAACACTTTACACAATATCTTACATAACTAGTCATGATAACATTCCAAACGAGGAACTCCTGACACATCCCCACACACTGTTCCACATCACACTCGACACGAAGCACACCTGACACATCCTCACACACTGTTCCACATCACACTCGACACGAAGCACACCTGACACATCCTCACACACTGTTCCACATCACACTCGACACGAAGCACACCTGACACATCCTCACACACTGTCCACATCACACTCGACACGAAGCACACTTGACACATCCTCACACACTGTTCCACATCACAACATGGGTTCTTTTAAAATAGATCTTGCCTTACAAACCTTCTCACAGTTTTTGAAGCGGTAACCAGCTATTCAGACAATGGACTTCCGGATGTGTTGTTTACATGGACTTTACTAAAGCTTTCGACAAGGTACCACGTGAAAGACTTACAAGAAAATTACAGGCACATGAAATCAATTGTAAAATACTAGAATGGATAAATAAATGGTTAAAACAGAAAACAAAGGGCAGTGCTAAATGGGAAGGAATCTGACTGAAGAAATGTTATGAGGGGTACAGCAAGAGTCCATTTTGGGGTCGACCGACTATTTTTGTTATATACGTCAATGACATAGATGAGAATATTGCAAACCACGGAATGTGTGCGGGTTAGATAATTATCACCAGAAAGCGTCAAGCCAGTACAACCATATAGCACTTTTTTAATGGATATGAGGACAGGGATCTGCAGTTATTATGACGGATAAAGGGGCCGGTGCCCAAGCACTTGAACCGTCAGGGCTGAGTGCTTGGGCACCGGTCCCTTTATAGATAGACCAGAATTGATGGACCAGCCCAGGTGTTATACGAGAATTGTTCTTGCTCGATACCAACAAATCGGTAAAAAAAAAAAATATTTTTTATAATTATAACCACTATTTGTTTTTTATGTGTCCAAATGCACTAGTATAGTTTTAAACAATTAATTACTTCATCAAATGGAAGGAACCATTTGATGAAGTAATCTCTCTCTCCATTTATATTTGTACCTTGCTACAGGCGTGGGCCAACCAGTGCACTCTCCGTTACGACGGGTTCAACAAGCGAAAGATCTGCTCCCGAAATTATGCCGTTGGTCAGAATGTGTACTACCACACAGGTCACGACCACCCCCTGGTAAGTGTCGTCATGGACCAGAATGTGTACTACCACACAGGCCACGACCACCCCCTGGTAAGTGTCGTCGTGGACCAGAATGTGTACTACCACACAGGTCACGACCACCCCCTGGTAAGTGTCGTCGTGGACCAGAATGTGTACTACCACACAGGTCACGACCACCCCCTGGTAAGTGTCGTCATGGACCAGAATGTGTACTACCACACAGGTCACGACCACCCCCTGGTAAGTGTCGTCGTGGACCAGAATGTGTACTACCACACAGGTCACGACCACCCCCTGGTAAGTGTCGTCATGGACCAGAATGTGTACTACCACACAGGTCACGACCACCCCCTGGTAAGTGTCGTCGTGGACCAGAATGTGTACTACCACACAGGTCACGACCACCCCCTGGTAAGTGTCGTCATGGACCAGAATGTGTACTACCACACAGGTCACGACCACCCCCTGGTAAGTGTCGTCATGGACCAGAATGTGTACTACCACACAGGTCACGACCACCCCCTGGTAAGTGTCGTCGTGGACCAGAATGTGTACTACCACACAGGTCACGACCACCCCCTGGTAAGTGTCGTCATGGACCAGAATGTGTACTACCACACAGGTCACGACCACCCCCTGGTAAGTGTCGTCGTGGACCAGAATGTGTACTACCACACAGGTCACGACCACCCCCTGGTAAGTGTCGTCGTGGACCAGAATGTGTACTACCACACAGGTCACGACCACCCCCTGGTAAGTGTCGTCATGGACCAGAATGTGTACTACCACACAGGTCACGACCACCCCCTGGTAAGTGTCGTCATGGACCAGAATGTGTACTACCACACAGGTCACGACCACCCCCTGGTAAGTGTCGTCATGGACCAGAATGTGTACTACCACACAGGTCACGACCACCCCCTGGTAAGTGTCGTCGTGGACCAGAATGTGTACTACCACACAGGTCACGACCACCCCCTGGTAAGTGTCGTCATGGACCAGAATGTGTACTACCACACAGGTCACGACCACCCCCTGGTAAGTGTCGTCGTGGACCAGAATGTGTACTACCACACAGGTCACGACCACCCCCTGGTAAGTGTCGTCGTGGACCAGAATGTGTACTACCACACAGGTCACGACCACCCCCTGGTAAGTGTCGTCGTGGACCAGAATGTGTACTACCACACAGGTCACGACCACCCCCTGGTAAGTGTCGTCGTGGACCAGAATGTGTACTACCACACAGGTCACGACCACCCCCTGGTAAGTGTCGTCGTGGACCAGAATGTGTACTACCACACAGATCACGACCACCCCCTGGTAAGTGTCGTCGTGGACCAGAATGTGTACTACCACACAGGTCACGACCACCCCCTGGTAAGTGTCGTCGTGGACCAGAATGTGTACTACCACACAGGTCACGACCACCCCCTGGTAAGTGTCGTCGTGGACCAGAATGTGTACTACCACACAGGTCACGACCACCCCCTGGTAAGTGTCGTCGTGGACCAGAATGTGTACTACCACACAGGTCACGACCACCCCCTGGTAAGTGTCGTCGTGGACCAGAATGTGTACTACCACACAGGTCACGACCACCCCCTGGTAAGTGTCGTCATGGACCAGAATGTGTACTACCACACAGGTCACGACCACCCCCTGGTAAGTGTCGTCGTGGACCAGAATGTGTACTACCACACAGGTCACGACCACCCCCTGGTAAGTGTCGTCGTGGACCAGAATGTGTACTACCACACAGGTCACGACCACCCCCTGGTAAGTGTCGTCGTGGACCAGAATGTGTACTACCACACAGATCACGACCACCCCCTGGTAAGTGTCGTCGTGGACCAGAATGTGTACTACCACACAGGTCACGACCACCCCCTGGTAAGTGTCGTCGTGGACCAGAATGTGTACTACCACACAGGTCACGACCACCCCCTGGTAAGTGTCGTCGTGGACCAGAATGTGTACTACCACACAGATCACGACCACCCCCTGGTAAGTGTCGTCGTGGACCAGAATGTGTACTACCACACAGGTCACGACCACCCCCTGGTAAGTGTCGTCGTGGACCAGAATGTGTACTACCACACAGGTCACGACCACCCCCTGGTAAGTGTCGTCATGGACCAGAATGTGTACTACCACACAGCTGGCGATCAATTATGTCCAGGAGTTCTGTATGGTTTTGTTCAAGGGTTTTATATGATTATGTTCAGGGGGTTCTGTATGGCCCTGTTTACGGATTCTGTGTGGCTCTGTCCACGAGTTCTGTGTAACTCTGTCCACGGGTTCTGTGTGGCTCTGTCCACGAGTTCTGTATGGCTCTGTCCACGAGTTCTGTGTGGCTCTGTCCACGAGTTCTGTATGGCTCTGTCCACGGGTTCTGTGTGACTGTCCACGAGTTCTGTGTGACTGTCCACGAGTTCTGTGTGGCTCTGTTCACGAGTTCTGTGTGGCTCTGTCCACGAGTTCTGTGTGGCTCTGTCCACGAGTTCTGTGTGGCTCTGTCCACGAGTTCTGTGTGGCTCTGTCCACGAGTTCTGTGTGGCTCTGTCCACGAGTTCTGTATGGCTCTGTCCACGAGTTCTGTATGGCTCTGTCCACGGGTTCTGTGTGGCTCTGTCCACGGGTTCTGTGTAACTCTGTCCACGAGTTCTGTATGGCTCTGTCCACGGGTTCTGTGTGACTCTGTCCACGAGTTCTGTATGGCTCTGTCCACGAGTTCTGTATGGCTCTGTCCACGAGTTCTGTATGGCTCTGTCCACGGGTTCTGTGTGGCTCTGTCCACGAGTTCTGTGTGGCTCTGTCCACGGGTTTATATGATTCAATTTAGCAGTGTTGTGGTCGATTCAATATGGCGCCAACGATCATCAACTGTCTTTAGGATGTCATAGGGTTTTGGAGGTCGACACAGACGACAAAAGTACAACTAATAGGCATCTACAACAGAGCACTTAACACCCGTATACCTGTAACTTACCTCTCCTCCGCCGCCGTCAGGACTGGGCGGAGGCCGTCAACGGATGGTACGAGGAGGTGGTGCACCTGTCCCGAACTCACGTCCACGTCTTCCGACCGAACACCTTCAGAAACACTCACAGATACTCCCAGGTGAGTCTTGGACTCCGGCAGAAGTTCTGCTTTCCCAGTTACGCTGTACTAGTCCTGCTATGTTAGTTCTGCTGTACTGCTTCCGCTGACTAGTTCCATTGTATTAGTTCCACAGTGCTGCCCTCTTTACTCGCCTGTGATGCAAGCATGCTGCCTTTATTCCCCCATGTCACTGTATCGTTAGCCACCTCCGGTAATGTTCCGTGTTCCTGCTACTGTCCGTGTTCCTGCTACTGTCCGTGTTCCTGCTACTGTCCGTGTTCCTGCTACTGTCCGTGTTCCTGCTACTGCCCGTGTTCCTGCTACTGCCCGTGTTCCTGCTACTGCCCGTGTTCTCATGTTCCAGAGATAAGCATGTAGTTGTCCAGAGAATTAGTCACAGGGACGTGGCTGAAGTAAAATTAAAAAGACGACCGTTCTGTCCCTTATGTGACGACGTTTCGGCCCGTCCTAGAACCTTAATAAGTCGTGCCATGACTTGCATCGCGACTTACTAAGAGTCAAGGACTAACAGTTTTGATTTTATTATTAAGAAGCTTAACTATATGCAGAGCAGTGTGGCGATCAGTGTGGCAGTGTGGATAAATTACCCAATCACACATGAGGGATCACAAAGTATGGATCAAGAGCTGGCTATACGTTATCCCCCATCTCACCCAATGGCATCAGAACACGTGACCGACTCATCTTCACTTTCATTTCAAATGTGTTGGTTGTGTTCTCCAGTCCCTCAGCTGACTCGTGCGGCTCTTCCCCTACAGTTGGTGTGGGCCAAGACCCGGGAGGTGGGCTGCGGGAGCGCGACCTTCCGCGACAAGAATAGTATTGTCAGATTCATATACGTTTGCAACTACGGACCCGCGGGTAACATCTTCGGGGACCCCGTGTACCTTGAAGGCCCCCCGGCCTCGGACTGCCGCCTCGGGGCGCCCTCACACGACTACCCCGCCCTCTGTCAGCGGGACGACAGCGAGAAGAGGAAGACTCCTTCAAGTTAAACCCAAATGTATAAACACCTGTTACTGTGTTGTTTGTTCTGCTTCAGTTATAACCCTAAACAAGTGTGAACAAAATGTATGAACAATAATGTTGGGTTATATGCTAATAAGGGAATAAAGATGATGTATACTCGGTGTATAACTGTATCCCCATGAAAACTTATAAAGCAGTGCTCTCTGCAGTCCGATCACAGGCAAAAGGTCCCGGGTTCCATTCTCCCAACAGGAACAAGACGTTTGGGTTACGTTTCCTTTCACCTGATGTCTTTGTTTACCTAGCAGTAACAAGGGACCCGGGAGTTTCGAAACTGTTGTGGGTTGCAATTGGGGAAAATCAGTTGTTGGCCTCGGGTGACCTCGATAAGCTGTCCTGTTCCAAACAATGACAAACAGGAAGCCATCTTCATTTTAACAGATATTTGGTCTTAAATATACTTATAAATAATTATGTATAGCAGGCTAGTAAGAGGGATCTTGTGCGGACCCGCTTAGGTTGGAAATTGGACATAATTTGAAAATGAAAAAAAATGAATATAAATTTTGGATTTTTTTTTCAACACCAGTAAGTTAAGGGTCCTCTGATAGGTTAGGTGGGCAGGAAATTCTCATAAAGTTTCAAAACGGTATGAAAAACGTTAATGGAAAGTTTCCTTTTTTAAGCTTGCCGAGTAAGCTGGACGACTCAAACAGAAAACGGAACAGTACGTCACTTTTGTGAGTCGATTTCATTTCAAATTACGTCCAAATTTGGCCATAGCGCGCATACGGGCGGAAAGTGACGTTATTTTTAAGAGGACGGGTTGGCTTCGCCAGCGCTTTGACCTGCCGGCCGGAAAGGCTTGCCCGGGCGACAATCCTTAACTGTTCACCCGGCAGAGAATAGGTTGTTTGACCTGTTTGGCGGGTCGTATTCCGGTGAAAAAATTAGGATTAAGGACTTGCCCAAAATGCTATGCATGCTATAGTGTCTTTACAAGAATTTAAGAACTCTTTATATATAAATAAACAAAAAATAAAAAAAATCCGCTGACGAATCTTCTTGTGTGCGATGAGACTTAATTGTATCTGGCATAATTTAAATATTAACTTAAATAATTCGTTTGTTACACAATATTATGAAATTCAGATTTATAAATTACTTTAGAAAGGCCTATAATGCATATAAATATTAATTTACACACTCTTGGCGCTATACGCTAGGAATTTCAATATGGCGTTCAAATAATTTTAGACAGAGGGTCTCTGGGTCGGTTGGTCGCTACGGGTCATCGACGACGACCCGGTCAGTCGTCAGGAAGCAGCGGCGGCGTGAGCATCGTCGTTCCCGTACCTACCTTGAGACTACCTTGAGGTGCTTCCGGGACTTAGTGTCCCCGCGGCCCGGTCGTCGACCAGGCCTCCTGGTTGCTGGACTGATCAACCAGGCTGTTAGACGCGGCTGCTCGCAGCCTGACGTATGAGTCACAGCCTGGTTGATCAGGTATCCTTTGGAGGTGCTTATCCAGTTCTCTCTTGAACACTGTGAGGGGTTTGCCAGTTATGCCCCTTATGTGTAGTGGAAGCGTGTTGAACAGTCTCGGGCCTCTGATGTTGATAGAGTTCTCTCTCAGAGTACCTGTTGTACCCGTGTAGGGTACCTGAGTACCAGAGTACCCGTGTAGGTAAGGCTGATCAATTATTTTTGCTATTTGAGCAGTTGGGAGGTACATACGAATATATAGTCTACCTCCACCTACAAAGCTAAATGCATTGTACATTTGTTCACTTTTATAACATTGAGTTTTTGTAATATCTCCAGGGGAATTATTTCCTTTATTTTTTTCATCCGGGTTGTGTAGTATTCAAATGTTTGTATTCCACTAATGCTAAATAATCTGTCCTCTCTCGGATATTTTAGAAGGTTTTGAGGATTATGATTTGCCAACACTATATGGGTAGGATATTATGTAGAATACACTTCCCCATAGTGTTAAACCACCCCGTCGTGAGGCTAAGCTCGTTAACGCGGCGGTCGATCCCCGCCTCCACCTCCCGAGATGCATTTATTATCGACTTAAATGTACTGTGTATTAAAAATAGTTTTTATCGAGTATAAATTAATTCTATATTCTATAATTAATTAGGCGTATAGTAGGTTCGGTATTTAGGTTCTGTTGGCAATTATTTGCACTTGAAGTATGTGGAGTGTGAAGCATTTACAGTTGCCTGTCCTCAGGCCAGGCTCGCCTACGCGGCAGCCCAACCCAAAGCCGCGTTCGTCAATTTTATGGCTGGGTATTCAGAATTATTCTCGCGTATAAGGTAATATTATTTCATCAAGTTAATAGTTTAAAAACTAAGTTTAGTGACAAGCGACAGGCCAATGTACTGCAATAGATGAACAACTTCCCAACGGGAAGAAGCAGGGACACCTCTAGGAACTGAATTTACCTGAGGGCCACTAACACTAGTGGCCTCCATGAGGACAGTAAGCCAGCGGCTTGTCATAGGTCCCCTCCATTTGCCCTGATCTTTTCCAGCTGTATTTTAAAACCCAACAGGGTTTTGGCTTTTACGGCTTCGGCGGGTAGACGGTTCCACGGGTTTACAACCCTATGGGTGAAAAAGCATCTCCTGTTTCCTGTCCAACATTCTGGCTTGTTAAGTTTGAACCCGTTGCTCCTTGTTCGTGTAACATCTGACCTTTTGAAGACATTGTTCTGATCGACATCCTCCAAATTTAGTATTTTAAAGGTTTCTATGAAGTCCCCCCTGTCATGCCTGGTATGTGGTGGTGTTAGCCCTGTGGCCCTCAACAGTTCCTGATACACCAGATGACTAATCTCTGGTATGATTTTTGTCGTAAGACATAGCTCCATAGCTTTGGTAAGACATGGCTTCAGAGCAGCTATGTCTTCCTGAAGATGAGGTCTCCATGCCTAGATGCAATAATTCACGTGGGGGCGCATCAGAAACTTATATAATTAAAGGTCTACTTTCTTTTCCTTGAAGATAAAGGTACGCATGATTATTCCCAGGGTTTGGTTTGCCTTTTTACTGCCGCTCCTACTTGTTGTACAATTATCAGTGATTGGTGGATTTTGACTTCAAGATTATGTTGATTTGGTAGTTGAGTTAGGCATTGTTATGCCTCACGTGATGGATTCTGACTCCAAGGTCCCTTTCTTCATCTATTTGTTGACAGGTAGTGCTGACAATTTGGTAGTTGTGACGTGGATTGTTATGCCCCACATGCAAGGACTTGGATTTATCGACATTTAATAGTCATCTGACCATTTGTGGATTTCATGTAGATCTCTTTGTAAGGTTTCAACATGGCTTTCACTTCCCACTTTACCATAGATCTTAGTGTCGTCTGCGAATTTGATGTGGTTTGTAATATTCTCATTTATGTATATAACAAAAAGGGTTGGCCCCAAAATGGACCCTTTGGCACCCCACTTAGCACACTGGTGGGGGGGTTGGAAGAGATATTTGCTTGTTAGGCTTGCTATTACACAACTGGTGGGGTTCCAGTTACACAACTGGTCGGGCTTTGGTTACACAACTGGTCGGGCTTTGGTTACACAACTGGTCGGTTACACAACTACACAACTTAGGTAGGGCAAAGGAGATTTTTGTTTGGTCCAGCTTGGAATGGAGTTTGGTTGGGCTCTGAGGCTGTTTAGCTTGGTGGGGGTTAGATGAGATGTATACATGCTAGGCTTGCGGTTACACAACTGGTCGGGGTTCGGTTACACAACTGATCAGGCTTCGGTTACACAACTGGTCAGGCTTCGGTTACACAACTGGTCGAGGTCAGGTTACACAACTGGTCAGGCTTCGGTTACACAACTGGTCGGGCTTCGGTTACACAACTGGTCGGGCTTCGGTTACACAACTGGTCGGGGTTCGGTTACACAACTGCTAGGCTTCGGTTACACAACTGGTCGGGCTCCGGTTAAATAACTGGTCGGGCTCCGGTTAAATAACTGGTCGGGCTCCGGTTAAATAACTGGTCGGGCTCCGGGGGTGTCACTTGGGCTCTGGGTTGTGCATGGTCGAGCTTCGGTTCATGCATGGTTGTGCTTTAGAAGTTGTTTGGTTCGTAAATGCTAGGCTTGCTGTTACACAACTGGTCGGGGTCAGGTTACACAACTGGTCGGGGTCAGGTTACACAACTGGTCGGGCTTCGGTTACACAACTGGTCGGGCTCCGGTTACACAACTGGTCGGGCTCCGGTTACACAACTGGTCGGGCTCCGGTTAAATAACTGGTCGGGCTCCGGGGGTGTCACTTGGGCTTCGGGTTGTGCATGGTCGGGCTTCGATTCGTGCATGGTTGTGCTTCAGATGTTGTTTGTTTTTAATTGTTTGTTTGGTTCGTTCATGCTAGGCTTGCGGTTACACAACTGATAGGGGTCTGGTTACACAACTGGTTCAGGCTCCGGTTACATAACTCCAAGGGCGTGATTTATTGGGCTTTGGGTTGTGCTTGGTCGGGCTCCAGGTCGTGCATGGTTGTGCTCCAGGTTTGCTTGCGTACTAGTGCTCCAGGTTTGCTTGCTAGGCCTGCATGGTTGGTTTCTAGGGCAAGTGGATGATTTTAGGTAGGGAAAGGAGATTTTTGTTTGGTCCAGCTTGGAATGGAGTTTGGTTGGGCTCTGGGGCTGTTCAGCTTGGTGGGGGTTAGATGAGATGCATACTTGCTAGGCTTGCGGTTACACAACTGGTCGGGGTTCGGGTACACAACTGCTAGGCTTCGGTTACACAACTGGTCGGGCTCCGGTTAAATAACTGGTCGGGCTCCGGTTAAATAACTGGTCGGGCTCCGGTAACATTACTGGTCGGGCTCCGGTTAAATAACTGGTCGGGCTCCGGTTACATAACTGGTCGGGCTCCGGGGGTGTCACTTGGGCTCTGGGTTGTGCATGGTCGGGCTTCGGTTCATGCATGGTTGTGCTTTAGAGGGTGTTTGGTTCGTAAATGCTAGGCTTGCGGTTACACAACTGGTCGGGGTCAGGTTACACAACTGGTCGGTCAGGTTACACAACTGGTCGGTCAGGTTACACAACTGGTCGGGCTCCGGTTATACAACTGGTTCGGACTCTGGTTACATAACCCTGGGAGTGATTTGTTGAGCTTTGGGTTGTGCATGGTCGGGCTCCGATTCGTGCATGGTTATGCTCCAGGTGTTGTTTGTGTACTAGTGCTCCAAGTTTGTTTGCTAGGCCTCCATGGTTGGTGTCTAGGGCAAGTGGATGGTTTTAGGTAGGGCAAAGGAGATTTTTGTTTGGTCGAGCTACAAATGGAGTTTGGTTGGGCTCTGGGGCTGTTTAGCTTGGTGGGGGGTGGATGAGATGTATATTTACTAACACAACCGGTGGGGTTTCGGTTACACAACATATATATATAATATATATACCCGTATCAGTCAGTAACAAAAAATTGGGCTACTCTTATAAGAAATTCGCTACTTTAAGGCCGTCGGGTCGCTACTTTGAGGAGTTTGAATGTGGCAACACTGTGGTGTGGCGGGGGCGGCGGCCGCCAGTTTAAAGCTGCGGCCGCCACGGGCACCCAGGGACGCCGCCACCACCACCATGAACGACAGGGACACCTTTGAAATGTTTGACTATGATAAGAGGCTGAAGAGCTTCAAGAAGTGGCCGTTTGGCAGCGATACAGGAATGAGCAAAGAAAAGGTGATGCGGAGTGTTGTGGAGTAGTTGGCTCCTGCAGGCGAGGCTGTAGCTGCTCCACCTGGCCTGGCACACATATTGCATCCCCAGCGGCTTGTCACGCTGCTGGCATGTCCCATTATGTGTTGTCTTGTGTCGAGTACGTAACATTGGGTCTTGGGTGGTGTTCTCCAGCTGGGATATGGCAGTCTTACGCGTAATGGTTCCTCTAAGCTCGTTTTCCGAATAATAATAATTCATTGTGTGACAGGCAGCCACTATACATACAGTACAAGTTGGGTTAATATCAAGGTCGTCTTTCCACGGGTAGAATTACTGACCCTGCCCAAGATGCAATCCCACAACATGCCAACTCCTGGGTACCTATTTACTGTTAGGTGAACAGGTGCATTAGGTGATTAGAAATGTGCCCACCCAGTTCTGTCTTGTTAGGGATTCGAACCTTGAATTCCCAATTATGAGTCGAAGACGAACCCAATTGTACTACTGGGACCCTCAAAACTGCAAACTTTGCTTGGACTGTTGGCTCAAATGGGTTTGATTACATTGTGCAAGGTTGGGTAAGGTTAGGATACAACGTGCCTTGAGCCACAGCCATATGGGGTTAATATGGTATGGCCCGATGCCTCTTTCTGATCCGGACTATTCACCGCTTGTCCGGATTGGGTAACATCGATAACAAGTTAACCGGCTCAGATTTCTGATCCGGCCAAATATCCACTAGTCCGGCTTCCATGGACATTTTGGCCGGATAGGGAGGTAACTTTATCCAGCCATGATTTTTGCCAGATTAGGGCATTTTCCATATTGGCAGATTCCGGATTAGCGGGTCTACAGTACAGTACTGTATATGTTTTTGTGGTGAAGAGAGTTGTGGAAGTCGGAAAAATGTTGTTATTGCTCTCATTTGTAGGTAAATTATGGTGGAGTGGCATGTGTCACAGTGGGAATGTTCAATTTGCCATTCTTTTCAATGGTCTCTGCCTGCCATGTGAATAATAAATGAACCTGATTCTTTGATAAATACAAACTAAATTGGTTATGCAATGAATGATATGGGCATTTTAAATGGCACTTAAGTTCTGTACAAGTAAAATTAGTACCCTGCATAGTAATTTGCTGTATAATTTACCATAAATTATAAGCTGTTTTGGCTTAAGTTCTGAATAATTGCTTCTTTTCCAGATGGCTGCAGCTGGATTCTACTTCACCGGCAGTAAGAAAGAACCTGACCTTGCCAAATGTTTCGTGTGTCACAAAGAGCTTGATGGCTGGGAGGAGCAGGATGATCCTTGGTATGTTAGATAAGTTATGTTGCTCTGAGCTTCATTCAGGACATATGGCACTAATATTAAATTAGTACTTCTTGAATAATAAGGTTATTGAACATCATGGTAAAATTCTTTTACCATGTCGTGGTACAGTTAACTAGAGCGCGTCTGGGAACACTCATCAAGGATCCCGTGGCTTTGTTCTTTGATATACCACATTAATGGGATTTCTGTGTAGTAATTTTATTGCTACTTAAGTATACATTGGCCTCTCCGTTTACGAATTTAATCCGTTTTAAGAGACGGTTCGTACACTGAAAATTTGAAAACCAAAATTAATTTTCCCATAAGAAATAATGTAAACTGAATCAATCCGTTTCACACACCCAAAAATATTAACTTAAAAATCCTCGAATACCGAGTCAAATTTTATGAGGAAATTGGCCTCGTATACCAAAAAATTTGTAAAGAGGGGCATTCATTAACCGAGGTTCCACTGTACTGCTTTACCTGTATTAGTGTATGTGTGTATTAACACATTCTATTCATTATCTAAGCAGTGGCCACTAGTTTAATCTTATAGCAGGATGGCCATTAATTGTATTTTATAATTTATAGTGATGCAGTATAGCAAACAGACCAAATAGAATGGTAGGTCTATATAAAGGAGGAATTTGCATGCAACAAACTTTTAAACTTATACCACCAATTATTAACTGGTGGTATTTGAATTCAAGGCTAAGAACTAAAATCTTATTCCAATATACAAACCTCCAGTTGCATTGACTGAGAATGCACAATAGATTCTTAAAGTTGTCTCTAATCTAGAAAATCTTGAGCTAGATATCTTCCTGGTTGACTTCAGTCAACCCAGTTTAAGGTGCTGAATAAAACAATAATACTAACAGGGAATCAGACTGGAAATAACCAAACGCTGGTCAGAGATTTTTAGATTTTGTCGAGTTTTTTCTTAACAGATAACTAGCCAACTGGGAGTGAAAATACATACAGTATATTTGATCTGATCTTTATGGATAATGAAGAAATTGAGGAATTGGTAATATTACCATCTTGGATAATACACTTGGATCACAAACTTATGAAGCTGAAATAAACATTAATACAGTATTCCCAAAAGAAATAATTGTAAAGTGTTACTCTCTAAATACAATTTAAATAATAAAGGCATTGACTGGAGAAAGAGTACAGTAAATGGAACTAGTAGACATCTCTTGGGAAATTAAGTACTGTACCTAAACTTCAACACGAGAAATAGTAGAACCTCGGTTCTCGTATGCCCGTTTTCATAGTTTTCGGTTCTCGTAGTAAATTTCTAAGAGAAATTAGATTCAGAAACCGTAGTGTGCCTCGGTAGTCGTAGTTTGTTTATACACGTACGGGTCCACCGTGAGCGAGGCACTTCAGTTTACCGGTGTCTCCTGCCTAGTGATGATCGTGCTTGGATTCTTTGTGAAGAATATTGCGACAATAAACATTTATTGTGGACACATTACTGACACATGTATCACAGTTCCATGGAACATTATAAATGTTCTACTGTATACATATTGTAAAGGACACAAATATGCATAATATACAATAAAAAAATAAATAAACCGCATTGGAAGTACACTGAACAATTAATTGAAAATATATTTGTGGCAACTCATGGTGCTTGAAAGGCCCAGGCGACCGTGTCTGGGAGCTTCATGCACGGACGACCAGCCCATGATGACATCACAGCGCACCTTGTCCACATCCCCACAGCCAAAGTAAGTGGAATTTGGTATTTATTTTTATATAGACATGTTCAGGGAAGGGAATTTATAATTTTACAAAGTTTTTTTGGGAACACTTGATTTCATGCGCACAGGGGGAATTTCACAATAAACTTGGCACATCACAGTGGTTAATGGAATGTCACCCTACTACACATTGTCCAAATTGCCTTGTCCCTCTTAGTCATGCACCTGTTGAATGTCCTGATTTTCAGGACTTGTTTTGCTTCCCAACTGTCCCCTCAATAGAACCTTTGGTGAACCAGATTCTTTTGCCATCGTTATCCTTATATACTCTTGTTCTTGTATTGGCACCCTCTGATATTTAGTGCCTTTTGAATATCCAGCAACACTAATGGTGCTAGTCTCCCTGGCTTGGAGTGTTCTTTTGGTAATTACCTGCGTCCTGCACAAGGCTCTCGTCATGAACTATCATTGATTGCCTGTGCTTACACCTCTGTATTATGTGTTTATTATTTAGTTCCTTATTACAGTATACAGTAATTTGTGGCTGTTATCTTTTGTATAAAAGTACAGAGCAGTTTGTAGGTACATAAGATGTTTTCTGTTAACAGGGAAGAACACAAAAAGCATGCACCCTACTGTCGGTTCACAAAGCTTGATAAGCCAGAGAGCGAGATGTTGTTTCACGAGTTTCACGAGATGGAATCTGAACGACAAAACAACTTGGTAGTAAGTATTACTTCAAATTGTACATCTAATATATGTATGAGATGAGGAGTGTGACTGTCAGTTTACATATATATGTATTCATTACTTCTGAAATACAATTATTTCACAATTACTGGTACTGACATTTTGAAATGTCTAATTATGACTAAAGTATTAATTTGATGCCTGTTATCCCTATTTACAGGCAAAGTTTGTTACAAGGAAGATAGACGAGTTCAAGAAACAAGCGGAAAAGACACGAGAAGGCTTACAAAATCTAATCTAGTTTCATTTGAACTTTACATACAGTATATATTATATTAATAAGGCATTTTAGATATTTTAACATTTACAAATTTATGAAAATTTTATAAGCTGCTAAAACCATTTATTAAATTTTGAAATAAATTTTTGTACCGAGCATCTTTTCTTTATTATTTTGACAGGTATCTCTATAATCTCTATACTATATGTAACATTATGATTATGATGCTGTAATACAGTTTATCCCATTGCCACTACCACATATTGGGCTCTAATACCTCCTTGTACTGTTCCTCTGCACCACTATCTTATACTGCTCTTTAATACGACCACCTAATGCGACACCATTTTTCTTCACCCTGTACTGCCTCCTTACCTTACCACTGCATGGTGGCCCCCTCCACCCCCCCCACTACTCCAGGGCATGCTTGGAGAATAAAAACCCCAGGCACCCACTCTAGATATACTACAGCTTGTACTGCCCCCAACACCACCACCTTGTACTAACTCCCCTCTCCCTCATCCCATTTCTTTTCATCTCTGCTTCTTACAACCACATACCACCACTACCAATGCCACCATCACCACCTACTCCTACATAACAAACACCAATACCTTGTCCTTTGGCCTTACCCACACCTATAAAAGGGAGAACAACTACTCCCAGCAAGTATCCAGCAACTGAATTTAGATTGACATGCAGGGGTAAATTTTACACTGAATCTGTCGCCCAAAGTCCATACCAAACTGACATTGGCTGCATGTGCAGGGTTAGTCAATCTAAGGACTACTTTTAGAAATAAGTAATTAAAAACTACATCTTGCATGTAAGAATATGCGGCTCCATAGTAGTCCTTATCCTGTTAAAACAAAATGAACCTGGAGCTAGTCCAGAAGTATGCCACCAGACTGGTACTATGACTGGGAGGTAAGAGTAATGGAGAAAGGCTAATGGAATTAAACTGCTTTACATTGGAGAAGAGAGGATGTGAAAGAGAGATAATACCCCTTATCACAATGTCTTGCAAACAGACAGGACATTATTTGGCATGTGTGTAGAACATAAACAACGTAACATAAGTAGAAATATGACTCACAGGTACATCAGAAAGAATTTTCAATGTTACAGTGAACAAAGGAAATGTGTCAAGCCAAAAATGGTGGAGGCAGTCTTTATATTCGGGTTCAAATTTAAATTAAATGACCAATAAGCATGACAATCTGTACACTAGGTTAAAGAGTGAAAAGCAGGACCAACTAAATGCTCTTTTCACATGTTGCACTAGTAGTTTTGACACCTGTAATCTCATTACCTCTTCATTACATCCCTATACTCTATGCACTCTGCCTTTTAAGTCACCCTGCTAATTTCCTGAGAACTGTCAGGCTTGGGGTACCTTTCTTGACCACTCTTATGCAATTGCGCCATACTTTTTACTACTGTAATACGGTAAACCCTCATTGCTCACTGGATTTGTTCCTGAAAGCCACAAATACAGTACATAATGAAATGCACGATACTTACCGAGAGTGTAATAGTCAAAGTAAAATCCAGATCATCCACTGTGAAAAACTGTCCGTGGTGTACTGTGCTCCGGTACTTTTTCTTGTCCTTATATCATAAAGGATACACACTATACTGTATCACCTTTGCAAATGACACTAGGATTTTCATAAGTAGACAATATAAAGGACATAGCAAGCCTCCACTTTGTGTTAATAAAGTCTTTCAATGGGCCACATAAACTATGATAAGTTCCAGTTACTGTGCTGTGGAAGAAAATATCAGAACAGAAATAGCATATAAAATGCAGCCAAACCACGTAATTCATAATATAGTTATTCATTGTCGGGACAGGCAGCCAGTTTATACACAGAGTACATGTTAGACTTGTATTGAGGTCCTCTCTCCCAGGATTGAATTACTGACCCTAAAATGCAACACCACAAGAAGCCTACTAACTCCGGGGTACCTATTTACTGCTAGGTTGACAGGCATTAGGTGATAGGAAATGCCTCCAACCACTTATGTCCCAAGTGAGATTCGAACCCAACTGTACTATTGGGATTCTAAAACATGATTAAAATAAAATGCAATGTAAAAGATTGAGGAGTAATCATGTCGCCAGACCTTACTTTTAGAAAAGACATGAGTAGCTGTCACAACTGCAAGAAAAATGACTGGTTGGATAACAAGAACTTTTCAAATGAGATGCCACACTAATAATACTTAACACTAGTGCTCTCTAGAGTGGAATAATGTTACTAACAGCTCCATTTAGAGCTGGAGAAATTGCTTATTTGGAGAACATGCAAAGATATTTTAGTGCTAGAATCCACCTGGTAAAACATCTAAATTACAGGGACTACTTAAAAATGTTCCCTAGAGTAGGGTGAGAGAGATACATAATAATTTAGTTGGAAAATACTAGGACTGGTTCGAAATCTGCACACAGACATAAAACCAGAAAAGACTAGAAGGCATGGCAGGATGTGCAAAATTTTATTCTGTTGAAATGCACATTCTTAAGAGTTGATGCAGTGAGGGTTTACTACAGTTTATACTAGTAATAGACAGTATATTTTAGTTTGTATACAACTTTCCAAGCTTATAATTATTTTCAATATAACCTATGTACCTGTAGCACAGTGGTCTATGTTCTTGGCCCACAACCAAAGGACATGGGTTCAATCCTCAGTTAAGACTGAGACAGTTGTGCATGTTTCCCTTCACCTGATGCCTCTGTTCACCCAGAAGTTAGACAACTGTTGTGAGTTACATCCTGGAAAAAGACTGGCCTCGGCGGACCTCAGTAAGCCTAGGTACAGGCATCATGTCCCTGATCCTGGGAATTATAAGCAGTGTTATACATAGAAAAATTGTAAAATGAATAGGATTTCTATACATTATTACATGAACTTAAAGGTCATTGCTTGCAACACTTAAAGAATACTGCCAGTTGGCTTATGCATTTCATTAAAAACAATAAAACACTTTATGTACCAGTACAAGAAAATGTTTATACTGTATTATAGGTTACTATTAATAAATATAATTTTTGTATTGAAAGCCATTCACTTCATATAGTTGTTTCAGTTAGAATTGTTTCCATAATACAGTATGTATGCAACTACTCCACAATGTCTGGTTTCACCAGTCCTCAACAGACTGTACAGAGATATATCTTGGCCATAACTGGTGATGATAATGACCGAAGAGATAAAACTGAGCCTAGAAAATCTGAAACAATTTAAAACTGTTAAACAAAAATGACAAATCCTAAAATTATCACAGCATATGGTCCTCATAATGGTTTATGGCACTTTAAATATTTACAGTTTCTCTTTACAGCTACTTTTTTTTTCTTCAAATTAATTTTGCTAAATAACAAAAAACAGTTGTGCTGTATATTCAGTAGCTAGAAATAGACTAGCCAACTTTCCCTCTTGTCTAGCAAGGTGGCATGGTAGCTTTCCCTCGTGGCCGGTGCCTTGATGTGGTCACCCCTCTCATGGCCGGTGCCTTGAAGTGGTCACTCCTCTCATGGCTGGTGCATTGACATGGTCAACCCTATCATGGCTGGTGCCTTGACATAGTCATCCCTCTCATGGCTGGTGCCTTGATAGTCACCCCTCTCATGGCTGGTGCCTTGACATGGTCAACCCTATCATGGCTGGTGCCTTGACATAGTCATCCCTCTCATGGCTGGTGCTTTGATAGTCACCCCTCTCATGGCTGGTGCTTTGATGTGGTCACCCCTCTCATGGCTGGTGCCTTGATAGTCACCCCTCACATGGCTGGTGCCTTGATAGTCACCCCTCTCATGGCTGGTGCCTTGACATGGTCGTCCTTCTCATGGCCTATGCCTTGGCATGGCAGCCACGCTCTTTGCCTGGACTTGGTGGGGGAAAGAATTTGAGTGCTTCGCAGATGTGATGAGTTGGTGGTGGCTTATGAAGCTTGTCTTCTGACCTATAGTGAGGAGTGAGACAAAAATCAGGCTAGTGGAAGGCCCTCCTATGTTTGTAACTCTGTAAGTGGATATATTTAATAAATTCACTAATAGTAGTCAAGTCACACAGGAAATTGTAGTTGAACTTCCTGAGGGATATACTGGGGTTCTTCACAACCATCTTGACTCTTCTTCTATTAGTAGATTTACTAAAAAAAATTATGGTGTTAAATATTTTCCATACACAAAAAACTTGATGCTAGTCTGTCCAGAAAGTTGCACTTCTTGGGAACAATTATTATATTTATTTATTTATTTAGTTTTGTTAGGTATAGGAGTAAAATGGGAGGTTTTCTACAGTTAGGGTAAATTTGTCATTTGGTCTAGTTATCCTAGATCCTAGCAGGCATCATAAAGAATGTCATGAAGATACTACGACTAAAATTTGAAGGGCACTTGATCCAAGTTCATATATACACTTGATTCCCTCATGGGAAATAATCTGGCACTCTGTGTTATGAAAATTACTTTTGATAGTACAGCTCTCCATCCTAGATGATTTTGAGGAACAAATGTTACGTCAAGGAATGTCTTCTCCTCCCCACCTTGCCTGATCAATGTGTGTTGGAAGCTTGAAGGAATGCATCGATCTTTTGCTATACTGTATTTGTGCCAATTCTGGACACTCCTAAGTCTACCTATGTAATTCAACGTGCTAGGTATATACATTTTAAATTGTAACAATACTTGGTGCAACTCAAACTCTTAAGGACAGCATTTCCTTTCCAGCAACAAAATTAGAATTAAACACACGGGTCACTTCCTTTCAATAAAGTATGCTTGAGCTGTTAATGACACCATTGGCCTGCTCTACTGTCTGTCCTACCTCAAAACTGCTTTGTTATCTTTACTACTGTATTAAGACTTCAACTGATAGGTGTCTCTTCCCCTACTTAATAATCTACTATCAGAAATGATCTAGACCACCACACCCTCATCTACAATCTTTCCTCTGTAATTCCTCTTTTGTGCATTGTCACAACTACTGTTCATCCTTATCTTGCCACCAACCATGCTTAGAAAGGTCTGGAACTCCATCCATATACCCATATCACTGCCATGACTGGTCTCAGCCCTCTTAATGGATAGTCACAGTTGATATTTGCTCCATCCCAAGCACTCCAAACATTTCCCTACATCTGATAATCATGCTCTTCATCAGTCACAAATCTTTCACACTCTGCACCTCCATTTTTCAGCAAAAAGAAAATAACTCATTCTCCTTCCCCAAAGGTAAAAAAAATTAATTTGAGCTTATCACAACCCAAATTTGTTTTGGATTAATTAATTGTTGCATGCTGGAAGTGACTAGTTTAGTGTGCACCCCATACTTGTCCTATGAGCAGTAGTGCAAAACAGAATTAGAGTGGAACACAAAAGGTCTTAATCAGACCTCTGGAGATGTTTACATCATCACATCTAAAATGCACACATTATTATAATGACAACTAATTTTGTAGTCTTGAAATATCCTCATTTCTTAGCAGTTGCAATTACTGTTTGTGAAAACCCTCAAACTCTAACCTTCTATTCCCCCATCCCTTTATCTGAATCTGCATGACCCTTCTCTCATTTATCTTTCCTTGCAAGACCTGTTTAAATTAAGTATGGTATGTCATAATCCCAATTTTGTGGATCACACCTAGCTGACCCCTACTTTCTAATATACTGTAGTAACATATACTTAATTCTTTTCTTTTCACTCCCCCTATTGTCCTGGTAGCCTGTAACTCATTGGAATATAGAATTGCTCTTTTATGCTATTTTCTCAGAGAGTCATCTTTTATGTCTCTCAATTTTTAACTTTGTATATAAGGAGGCAGTAGGAGAAAATATTTAAGTGCATAAGGTTATATCTTTTAATAGTTGCACACTGAAGGTTAACAGGGTACGCATTTCATCCATGACCCCAACCAGAAGAGTTGTATAAGTACTTTGTAGAATTTATTTATTTTTGCAATAAAATAATATGCATTTTCCACTATTCTTTTGAATCAGTTGTTCTTTGATATAATCATTAGTGAATTTGCTTCCTTTGACATAATTCATTTAATGTCTTGTGTTGTATTGGCAGCTTAAATGATATCTGCTTTTATATTCTATACCAGAGTTAAGTAACCATCCTTTTTCAATGCTTTCATTTGATAATTACTTTCCCATGACTAAGACAATTTATAAGTGTTATGGATAAACTATGAATGCATTTATATGTAATTTATTTGGGTCCCATTGTGAAAGCACAACTTGCTGTCACCTATTTGTGGTGCTCCCTGAATCATGCAAATAGTGGAAACCGTGCCCTAAATAAATACTATACACTTTGCAATGAATAACCTACCCAACTTGGACTCCTGGATCAGCCTCAGTGTTGGGTGGAAGTCTTTCTTCTGCTCCGATTATAGTTAATGAAAAGGTGTTGCAGTCTCAACAACATTCCAGATTTATACTGTACTACGTATGAGGTTAGAGGGAAGTTGGTTGATTTTTTACATTTACCGGTTAGATCTTAGGCCTGGGTGAGAAGTGCTGGAGCTCGGCGAGTCATTGTAGTCCTTCAGGAAACAATAAACATTTAGCTCTTGCTTCATTGGTGATAGCTGGAAGACATTACTACATTTATGCCTTTAAGACAGGCATACAAGATTCTGTCCTTAAGCTTTAAGTTTGACTACCCAGCGTTCAAAAGATTCACATTGCTTATACTGCCTGGGGTTACTGGGTAATGAGTAACAATTGGTCCCTAATTAGAGTAGGGAGGGTTAGGCAGTCACTTTTCCATAGGTATCCAGGGATCACCAACCATCTGCCAGTGTTTACCTGCTAAAGATAATGCTATTTTTTGCAGTCAGGCAATGCTGCATTTCCCTAATGCAGGTACACTGTGGCACATACTACTGCCATTGTGACCCATAAACAGACAACCACCTTCCTTGGTTCCAGTACCTTTTCTAAATCCCAACATAACATTTTATAATACATGTATCTTAAAGAATAAAATTCAGAACTTATACATTTACCTTTACATGCACATTAAAAAACTTTCAAATATATGTTTGAAAAAAAGTTCTCTACTGGACAGAAAAAAAAAAAAACTCAAATTAAATATTCTTTAGTTATTAATACTTGGCAATAACTACACCATTTACAATTAAAAATAACAATATACAATAATCTCTTGGATATGGTATAGTACAGGATGTCTTAGTAGTTGGGAACCTTATCCTTTAAGTCTGGAATCATAAGACATGCCAATGATGTATCCAGTCAGCAATCACACCAAATGCTAATGGTTCCAAACTTGTGGCACACCTTATGCAGTAATTCTTCGAATATATATAAACTTAAATGATAATTCTTATATAAGAGCATCAGACTATGTACAGGTACTGATAATCAACACTTAGTATACTAACTTGACAAATACAAAAATGGGATTAGAAGTTTTTTTAATAAACCTGTATTTTTCAACTGTGGTGTCTTAGTACAAGTTTCTGAGGGATGAGGTGAGTAAAGGTCATCTTCATATCTCTTGTCTTTTTGCCATTGTATTTGCATTCCAAATTATATTTAGGAACTTTAGCACCATATGTTGCAGAATATTCAAATTAAATCTTCCCGATTTGGTGCTGTCCTTTGATAATTACATACCTCCTGCTTGGTTCAAACCAAGATCTTGCATCGAATACCCCCCTCCTACTTTGTGGTATTGTACATGGTTCCTGCAATCTGATTGGATACTTCAAAACATCCATAAAATGTTCAAGTATTCCATCCTTACAGAATGGATGAAATCAGTACAGTCAGATTTTTTGTATGGACTTGCCACCAACCTCGCTTGGCTTTAGCATATTACCCAATTCACCCATTCTGCAATCCCACTGGGATGTATGTTTCAGAACTAAAGCAATTTTCTTATAGGATTTTTTCTCATTAACCACCTGCAATGTGTCCACTTACCATACCAGTTATACAACTTTGTCATCGTGGTGTACATTAGCAAACATTTAGCTCATCACATTAAAACCTTTATCACTCCAAATACTGTACATAAAAATTTCATATCTGCTATTTTTGCAGACAAGTGAGACCATGGCTGTAGCTTACAAAAACATTTTGCAGATACAGTAATTGTAGTAGTACAGTATTTGTCTTGCCTTGCAGAGGCAAGTATGGTTACTATAGAGGTTAATGCTATTTCTTTTTGATTCGTGAAAATTTTATTGAGCCAGTCACCATGTGTAGTTATTGTTGACTTAAAGCACACTTATGGCTGTTACATCTTTTAACCATTCTAATTCCACTAGTACTGGAGATTATCATGGGCTCTCCTTTTCAGTACACACACAACTGGAGTTTTGCTACATCCCAAGCTATATAGGCACTAAAATGACATCCCAAGCTATATAGGCACTAAAATGACATCCCAAGCTATATAGGCACTAAAATGAACTAGCTGATTCTGCAACCTAACATGCCATTCATGCATGTCCTGTTACTTTAGATTGCATTCAGTTTTCAAATTTTTACCCAATACTGTGGATTGCAAAGAGCATTTTGATAAATGTTTCAATCAGAGAAATTTTCCTGCTGATCAATCCTTGGAGAATAAATCAGATATACCAATAAAACATTAATACATAACAGCACAGTTTTTACATACAGTTCTAGTAATTTAAGGTTAATCAAAATGAAAGCCAAACATTTTAATTTGAATTATTGTGTATGCTTAAGTCCTTTGCCTGGAGTTACTTCATATTCATCATATACTGGGAATGATGTTTTATCAGACTCCTGGAAAGAAACATTTTAATATATTTTGTTACAGTGTATCATGGAAATTAAATATTGCTATTTAATATATAAATAATGTGGGACACTTTTATTGTGATTTAAAACTAAATTTAAAAGATAAATTAATACAGTACAGTACTTTACTTCTTTGCAAACTTAAATTTACACATTTAACAAAATCTTCACAGTCAAAATATTAATTGATCTGTGAAGCTTTCCTGGTGAGACAAACTAGTGTTGCTAGTTACTGCACAGCACTTGCAAACTTACAATCAGCCAGAATTTCATTACCATTACCTGTCAAATTATCTCTTAAATCTGAGTTTTGAGACAGTATAATCTAAGAGCTTTAAGGTGATTATTTGACAAAGTCTGAGCAGTAAAACATTTATGCAATACATCCTCCCAAATCCAGAGGGTGTATTGAGTTTTGGAGATTCCAGTGTATAGTACAGTACAATATATGTTTGGGATACTAAGGTACTAAGGGAAGGGTACTAAGAGAAACTGGCTGGATAGCCTTTAATCGTGCCAAGCTTAAAGCAACCAAACAATACTCACTCACTCATCTTCCTTTATCTCTCCACTCAACATATATACAGAAAGTTACTCCCATTTTAGTCTCCATGCGAGAAAAAATCTCGACACCAAATAAGTTGAACAGAATGAATAATCTTGAAACCACACTTCATGCTAGGCAAAATACATGCCTAACCTATACAGTACTATACAATGCATCGAGTTGGGGTCATCCCCCATTGAGATCATGGCCTAGCTCAGCATAACCTGGTAAATGACATCAAACAAAATCTATATAAAGTGCACCCAAGCTGTGGTTATTAACACTGAAAATGTTGTGCCTTGCATGAATTCAACATCTCAAAATAGCAAATAAAAAAACCTGCTGGTCTCAACTAATGCAGTTTTGGGAGAGACTTGCAATTGGATTAGTGCCATTTATTATCAGGTGTACAGCAGTGATGAGGTAAGTATGATGTCTTTTGTTATCTGTTTTTTTTGCACATATTACTTCTCGCCCTCCTCTTCAGTCACTTCTCATACACACACTGAGAAGAACTGCGCCCTGCACAGTGCTATATAGTCATGCTCGCTTAGTGTTACTTTTCTGATAATTACTAAGAACTTAAATTATAATAAAAAATAACCAAGAAACTTTTACCTTTATGGCTGAATGAACTTTCTTGCCTTCCTTCTCCAAAAGACGGTCAGCATTCTGTTTCTTCATCGTGGCAATAGATAAATTCTCTTTTAATTCAGATTCGCTTGGTGGTTCTGAACGACGGTTTCGTAACCATGCTGCAAGAGGTGTCATAGTTACATGTGTACTGAGTACTTTTGAAATTATAAAGACTGAAAAGAGTTAGTGTTCCGGGTAAATAATGCACCGAGACAAATGCCAGCTAGAAAAATTAGATGAAACCATTCATTATTGATACTATAAAGAAAAAGGCTTATATTGTACTGTTTTATGGTCTATTATTTCATAGTCACATTTATTAAGTGCTTTTGAAAAATTCTATGTATACAACATCAGCATTTTTTGTCTTCTAATGCTTTCTTTAAATTTTCTGACATAATGCATTTCCATTTGCATATTCTACTTTTTAATTTATTAATTTACTTATGGTATGCTTTTACAGTGCTTAACATAACCCCCTCTAAGTATAAATGATAGCCTGACAGTCCTCAGTAGTGTGTTCTCATACATTCCCTTCCCCCACACTGAAGATTTGACAAATGAAAGTATAATTTATGCTCATTTTAACTAAGTTCTCATACAACAGAAAAATAACAACTAACCATCCCATTCTGCTGGCATGTTTTCTTGGTCATATCTCATGTTTACTGGTGGAACATACCATCTTTTTGGAGTCCTCTTCCCTCTGCTTGGATCTGTGGTAAAATAATTTGGTTTTATCCTTAATTCGATTTGAACTTTCAAACACTATACAGGTACCTGTATGTCCACAGCAACAAAATGACTTGAATGTATTCAAATATTTATGCACCTTATAAGGTGACCATATATAATTCATTCATTTCCTCTCTTTACTGAACTTACGTTTCAATTATGTTACTTAAAATTAAAAACAGAGAACCAAAATAATAATAAAACAAACATTTTAGAAAAATAAAAATAAAAGCTAGACAATTTATACAAGTCATTAGTCTTGATGACCTGTTAACATTTAAAAAAAATTTCTTTTCACTAATGTTGTGAACAATTTCTTTAATATTCCCCACCCATGCCAAAGTGATTTTGAAACTTGTAAGTATAGCATAGGCTCCTCTCACAATACCTTTCATGGGACACACTCCCCCCTAGATCTCATTCTTTGAGTTCCTTAGCATTTTTATTCAATTAATAGGTAGGGAAAACTTACCCCATGTGATCACAATATTCTAAGATGAATTACAATTACAGAAACTCATGTAAAGATACAGGATGGTGTCAGAGTAGTTAACGAATGGAATGCATTAAGAAGTGATGTGGTGGAGGCTGACTCCATACACAGTTTCAAATGTAGATATGATAGAGCCCAATAGGCTCAGGAATCTGTACACCAGTTGATTGACGGTTGAGAGGCGGAACCAAAGAGACAAAGCTCAACCCTCGCAAGCACAACTATGTGAGTACACACACCTGCACCACACCAGGCCTACATACCTAGGGGCCTCGCCGCTAATTGGACAATGCTTGGGGGTTTTAGTCCTAATGGTCCGAGTTCGATTCCCGGCGGAGGCAGAAACAAATGGATATTTTCTTTCACCCTGATGCACCTGCTCACTGTGCAGTAAATAGGTAACTGGGAGTTAGACAGATGCTTCCTGGGGATGTGTGTGTGTACTATATGAAGTTGACATAAGAGGAAAAATAATTGGTTAGAAAGGCGAGGTCCAAGAGCTAATAGCTCGATTCTGTAGACACAAATATTAAATACACCTGCACCACACCCGGCCAACACACCTGCAGGAATCTCATAGTACTTGTTACCATGGTAGTCGTCGCCAGCAAATACACCAGATATTTTCCGAGGTTTGAATGAATTTATGAAATGCTTAAAAGCAGTACCAAACAAACTCCTCGTTTTTTCAGACATAGTTGTTAAGGTCCGCGACTGTCAGACAGGAGGCTACGGGAGGTGACGGTCAGAGACAGGAGGCTATGGGAGGTGGCGGTCAGAGACAGGAGGCTATGGGAGATGACGGGCGGTGACGGTCAGAGACAGGAGGCTACGGAAGGCTGACCCACACATTGTTTTGAAGCCGGACCAGCCTCAATAATGCCTTCCTTCCCATCCACTAAGGCAGGTATTCACAGGTTATATCGGAAGTAAAAGAAAAGAAATCTTATTACACTTAATATAATTTAGAGATATGGTGATGCAGATACATTAAAATGTGTTGACCAAAAAACATATACCAAAGGAAATACGTTTAAAAAAAAAATGTTTATCTTTTAAGGTATGTGAACGAGCATCCGATTATAATTCAGCTGTTGTCTGATGTAAACAAAGTGATTATAATTATAAACTGCGCTTCAAACTACACCTACTATCAAGAAGAAGAAGAGATAATTCTTAATATTTTTTTATTCAAAATAATGAGTGTTACAGTGAACATAAGAGGAAGGGACAAGTGTATAGGGACAGGTGGTGCAACCTGTCCTCAGGGGGAAGTCTTCTGGAAGTAAATTCAAAAAATTCCAAATTCAAATTTTTATTCAGGTAAAAGTACATACATTTATGAAGAGTTACAAACATAATGTTGGATTTATAGATAGAGCTAGTACATACAATACCTGAAGCCACTAATATGCATAGCGTTTCGGGCAAAAATACATTAAAATCGCCACGTAGTTAGTGCTATTATCTACTCCCTGTCCATGGTTAAGTTAGGCTAAGGTTTCGGAGGGTTAATGATAATTTTCTTTACGTTTAATTACGTAAATATGATATATAATTCTCCAAAAATATGAAAAATATGGAATATGAAAATTATTTATGTGTACCCATGAATATTATTTACAGAAAACTAAATACTTCACACAGTTTTAAAGAAAACATATTTAGCTGTAACAATTCTATTATTACGTAAAGTATGGTGCCACTAAACACAGACACTAAGAGAATATATATATATATATATATTTGGTCAAGTATATAGAAGTTTGCAGGTGACACTTTAGCGAGGGATGATGTGATAGCGAGTTGAGTGCACTGAGAGTCGGTCGGTACAGTACCTCGCAAGTGTCTGTTCTAAACCACACTTGAAAGTAGACTGGTTATTCCTCGTTGTTGTTATAGATTCAGCTACTCGGAAAAAGTTCCAAGTAGCACGGGCTATGGTGAGCCCGTAGTGAACTTACCTAGCACAGGAGCGGTGCTGTGTGTCAGGGTTATTCCTCGCTACTCTCCTGCTTATTTGCTCGGGCGACACCTCACCGTTCTCCAAAGGTTGGCAGGAATATTAACTGGAAGTTGGGAACGGTTTGAGTTCCATAGTTAGTACTAGGAAGAGCTTTGCTCCTCTCATTAGGCTAATGAGTTTGGAGCGAGTATATTATTGGGATAATCTACTTGCTACATAGCATACACATTTTGTTTTAAACAAAACGATTTACTTACTTACTTATTTACTTACTTACTTACTTTACTTTCATGAAGGAACATTGGGTTGTGAGAGTACATAACATTGGTTGTTGGTTAACATTGGTTCCCCAGCAGTGGGTAACATAACATTGGTGTTCTTGCATTCTTATAAAGCCACTAATACGCATAGCGTTTCGAGCAGGTCCTGAATTTAACAGATACAATACGAGTATTTATGAGTCATTGTGTCGGGGGGACAGGAAGCCAGAGTGTATTCATACACGTTAGGCTTTTACCGAGGCCTCCCCCCCCCCCTCCCAAAGGCTTCCACAACAAACTAACTCCTGAGTACCTACTTACTGCTAGATGAACACACGCATTAGGTGAAAGGAAATGAGCCCAACCATTTATGTCCCGCCTGGGAGTCAAACCCGGAATTATCGGGTTCGAGAACCCAACTGTACTACCGATAGCACATGTAGCAAAATTTGAGTTCAGCATAATAACAAGTATATAAATTGACGGTATTGATTATACTGGTGAAGGTGTATGTCTTGAGTATTAAAATCGGTTGAGTAGGTTAACACAAGACAGTGTGTGTGTGTGAGTTTGAAGCACAAGGTAGGAAACTATGAAGATGAAATTAGGTACTTTTTGGTTTTACTTTTGAATAAATCATATTAGGTTCGATTATTTTTTAATTCATTGGGCAGTTCCATAGACTAGGTTTTTTTTAATAGGGTGCTTTCACATATTTATTTTAACTCTGGGGATATCAAAGAGGTCATTTTCTGAGAAGATAATAGGTCGCAGTTGTACATAAGCAAAATAGGAACTTGTAATATACCTTACGTAGGAGCTGCAAAATATTAAATGCGCGATCTAAGGGTAAATTAAACGGCTTAATTCTTCTGAGCAAAACAAAACTTAGACGACAGTGCTGATAATAGTGAGAAAATAGTAAAACAAAGCTACAATTTTAGGCCAGTTAGAAGTACAAAGTTTAAACTAAGAAAAGGTAGTCTCATTATGCTAATGTAATAACAAATTAACACCAAACCGAGATAACATTGTGAATATCACAGCTGGATGTGAGGCTTGGTAACTATAATCAACATAATAACTAATAAGGCTTAAGGGCAGAAGACTAAGGACAAAATCTTCAAAACAGTAAAAAAGCTGATGACATTATTAAACCATAAGAAGGTTTATAATCAACATATGCTTGTAATATTGACGCTAGGCTGAGACGGCCACTGTAGCTATACCAGGCTTCCCGGCTTGGCGCCTTCTTTTCATAATTACTTACTATCTAGCATATAATACATGCGGAAATATATGGCTAGAAGGGTGAACATTGCACCGACATAATTTCTGTTGTCAGACACAATGGTTTATCTGTTTATTGCTAGGTGGACAGAAGCATCAGGTGAGGGAAACGAACTGTAAGCTTTCCTGTCCCACCGAGGGATGGAACCCAATCCTCCTCGAGTGTGACTGGAGAACGTAGACTATTATACCACAGTGTTGTCTCCAGTATATTAGAGATGAGAGAGAGTAGCACTATGGACACACAAGTTACCCGAGTGTTTGTTATGTGAAGTGATGCCTGTGGCAGCCAGCCGTGGTGTTGATGCGTGGTACACCTCTACACCAGTCATGGTCATGCCAGTCAAAACCTTGTGGCAGCGTCACGCCTCCCCGCACTGCTAACTATATGTACTCACATAGCTGTACTTGCGTGAGTTGAGCTCTGGCTCTTTGGTCCCGCCTCTCAACTGTTAATCAACTGGTATACAGATTCTGGAGCCTATTGGGCTCTATCAAATCTACATTTGAATCTGTGTATGGAGTCAGCCTCCACCACATCACTGCCTAATGCATTCCACTTGTTAACTACTCTGACACTGAACAAATTATTTATAATGTCTCTGTGGCTCATTTGGGTACTAACTTGCCACCTGTGTCCCCTTGGACGTGTTCCACCCATGCTAAATAGGTTGTCATTGTCCACCCTGTCAATTCCTCTGAGAATTTTGTAGGTGGTTATCGTGTCTCCTCTTACTTTTCTGTCTTCCAGGGACGTGAGATTTAGTTCCCGTAGCCTTTCCTCGTAGCTCATACTTCTCAGTTCTGTATGCCACTAAACTAGTCTAGTGGCATACATATGAATATTCTCTAACTTTTGTCTTGTGTTTAATTGGTTTGGACTCCAGGCTGGAGCTGCATACTCTAGGATTAATCTGACATAAATGGTATACAAGGTCCTAAACGATTTCTTACACAAATTTCTAAAGGCAGTTCTTATGTTGGCCAATCTAGCATATGTTGCTGATGATATCCTTTCGATGTGGGCCTCTGGGGACAGGTTCGGTGTGATATCAACCCTCAGATCTTTCTCTCTATTTAACTCTTGCAGGATTTAACTTCCCAGATTGTACGTTGTGTTCAGCCTTCTGCCCCCTTCGCCTAATTTCATTACTTTACACTTTCCTGGGTTAAACTTTAGTAGCCATTTTCTAGACCATTCCTCCAGTTTGTCCAGGTCGGCCTGTAGTCTCTCTCTATCTTCATCTGTCTTGATTCTTCTCATAATTGTTTCGATTCTTCCTATAATCATCAGTAAACATTAAGAAGACTGAATCTATACCCTCTGGAAGATCGTTTACATTTATTAGAAACAGGATGGGTCCAAGTACAGAGCCCTGTGGGACTCCGCTGGTGACATCTCGCCACTCTGATGTCTCCCCCCTCTCCTCCCTCCCTCCCCCCCGCTTGTTGTTGTTTTAGATTCAGCTACTCGGAACAAAAAGTTCCAAGTAGCACGGGCTATGGCGAGCCCTTAGTGAACTTACCTGGCACAGGAGCGGGACTGAAACCCCTCGTGTGTTGTTACGCGCTGTTTCCTGTTGCTTAAGTACTCCCTTATCCACTGGAGCATCTTACCTTTTACTCCTGCCTGTTTCTCCTATTTTTGTAACAGCCTTTTATGGGGTACTGTGTCAAAGGCTTTCTGACAGCCCAAGAAAATGCAGTCTAACCACCCTTCTCTTTCTTGCCTAATTTTTGTCGGCTGATCATAAAATTCTATTAAGCCCGTGAGGCACGATTTACCATCCCAGAACCTATGTTGATGGTGTGTTACAAAACTCTTTCCCTTCAGATGCTCTACGAGCCTTTTCCTCACGATCTTCTCCATCACCTTGCACGGTATGCAAGTTAGGGAAACTGGCCTGTAGTTCAGTGCCTCTTGCCTGTCACCCTTTTTGTATATTGGGACTACCTTAGCTGTCTTCCAGCTTTCCAGTAGGTCTTCTGTTTCCAGTGACCTGTTATACACCATAGATAGAGGTACACTCAGTCCACTCCCAGGTATTTTCTCTAGTCGTTACAGGGAGGTAGTATTGTGTACTACCAATTGTGTACTGTCCTTTTGGTCTCCTGTCACCGGTTCCCATTAGACTCCTAGGAGAAGAGACCCAGTAGACTCACAGGGCCCAGTAGACCCGCCTGTCGGTTTACCATGAGCACCTCTAGTGGTACAAGTCTTAAAATTTCAATCGGCAATGTAAAAATATTTACGTAATTAACAGTTGAGCGATCCAACCATCAGAGTAAACCGTTGTTGGAGTGTAGCATACTTGGAGTTTCTCCACAAGAATGTGTTTCCTGTAGCAGCAGTGACCTTGGGGAGAGCTGGCCTCAGTGGCAGAGACGGCGTGGG